GTCTTCGGGAGAGCAGGAGCTGGCCAAGGATGGAGGGAAGGGTCTTCTGGAAAGAGGGAAAGGCGCGCCTGGAAGCAGGGCCTGTTAGTGCCTCTGGGGACTAGAACATGCGCTCCCTGCAGGCCGCTGCGCAGCGGGCCGCCGGGCCCGGTTTAGGCTGCAGACCCGCCATCCTGTGCAGAGATACCGTGAGGCCAGAAGGAGCCTGAGGTTTGAAGGAACCACAGAAGAGTGCATCAAGTAAGAGGCAGAGTGGCCCCAAATGAGGCCGGGGAGGCAGGCAGGACAAAACATGCAGGGCTGTGCTGGCTACTTAGAGAATTTAGATTCTATCCTGAATGCATGGGGATTATACCCGCGCTACTCATCACAGCCCATGCCGCTCTGCAGGATCTGACCTCCCTGCCTGCAAGCTCACTGGTGCTTGTCCCCTCCCGTCCCCCTCCCCCCCCTCTTCCTATCTCCCCATGGCCCTTATTTTCTGTGCTAGTCCTTTAGCCCCTACTGGCTCATTTTTTCCCCTGAGGCTTCTCCCTAATGAAACCACCAGGTCCTTGATGCTGAAAGGCATGATTTGACTTAGTACAGCACCTTGGACAAAGTAGTTCCTCCAGGAATATTGTTCGCTTTCCATTCCAATACATGGACTTTGGTATTTGTGAATTGGTACAAGGCCCAGAACCCTATTCAGGTAGCATAATATTAATTAGATAGTCTCACATTTATTAAGTACTGACTGTGTGCTAGCCAGTGCCAAGAATGGTGCCAAGCACTTTATATACATTGTCTTGTTCTCTTATGAAATAGCTATTGTTCCTGTCTCCATTGTACCACAGAGTCACAATGGGCCAGGCTTCTGGTCCAAAATCCTGAACTCTTAACCACTGGGCTACTACCCTAGGCCAATTACTCATTGAAAAATGAGATCTATTTTGAGCCCACCATTACAGAAGTAATGGTGGTGCAATAAATACCTATATAATTCAGTAAAAATAAGTAGAATAAGGATGTACTAAGAATATCCTGTTCTTTAAGATTGAATTATGAATTTTACTTAATAGAAATTTTTAAAAAGTTATTTGTACTCAGAATAATCAGCAACAGGGCAGAGCAAATCCTAATGTTTCTGGAAGCAATGAGCACCTTGCCGATGCCAGGGCAATGCCTGGACCAACTGGTGAGAGAGAAAGTTCCATTGTCTAGAATGGACAATAGGCCAGACCATAAGGGAAGCAACCAGCCAAGCAAAACCAGCAGAGAGAAAATTATAATTCAACAGGAGCAAATTATAGTCCAATCTGAAAGAGCGTTCCAGTTTCTAGAAATTTAGGAGACATATTGACTCTGTCTTTTCTCATCCTCATCTTTACAGCTCTTAATCACTGTAACTAGGGACAGTCGGCTCTTCCCTTTTGACTCTAAAGGCCCTTCAGTGTGTAGAGTATTCAGACCAGTCCAGGCATTGATCCAGAATGTGAAGAGATTCTCTAAGTGGACATATAAAGTGCAAAAGAAGCACAAAACAGGAACCTTTTGCTCAGAAAGGAAAGATTTGCCACACAGAGGAGTTTACACACGACTCTGATGATCGCAAAATAAGTGTCTGAGTGCCCATGAAGGGCAGCTGGACCTCACAGAAAGGAGGCTGGAGTGAAAGATGAATCTGGAGCTGGGCTTTGCAGCCACGGCAGCCAGCGCTGGCAGCAAACTAAGAGAGATGTGAGGCTGGATTGCAGGAGACTGGAGAAAGGAACATACAAGCTGGAGTTTCAGGACCACAGCAAAGACGGAAGCAAGATGGAAACAAATGTGAGAGGCAGGTCTGTCCCACCAGCCCGGGAGGGGTGCGTAGCTTTAGGGAAAAAGGGGTCACATCAAGGTCATTCCAGAAGGTCCCAGGCTTTCATTGCAGCCATTACTCCCCACCCAGTCCCACTACTGTCCCTTGGGTTGCCAGCAGCCCTGCACCCCTAGGTTAGGCCCATGAATGTTCTTGCTAGAGGACAGATGTGATGACAGAGCTCAAGTGGCCAGGCTTGGTGTCTAATCATGCAGAGGCCAGAGGGATAGGGCGCTGCAGGGGCTGTATGTGAGGGTGCCAGGGAGAAGGCGGGCAGATCTCTGCTATGGGGGACTGCTGGCTCTTTTCCTCCACCTGTGCCTAGGACAGTGGCTGCTGCACTTATTTATACAGGAAACAAGGAAAACAGAACTGAGTTCATCTGAGTTAGCACCTTCCACTCATGTATCTTCAAAAATCACAAATAAATCTCACCACAGTAACGAAGGCCTTACTTTATGTGGCTGGGAGGAGCACACATTTGCATCTGCCTGAAAACAACAAAACGTGGTGATGTCTGCCTGGGAGGCGTCAGAGTTAAATTCCCTACTGGGTTCTCAGAGTTAACTTCTTAGGCAGTTTTTATGTACACTGAAGTTTAAGAACCACTGATGGGGGTCCATGCTCTCATAGGTAACTTACTAATAATGTCCCAAAGCATTAGGGCTCATCATCATTAATTTTGAGCGATAGACAGTACTAAGCAGGACAGAGCGGCCTACACCGAAATCCAGAAAAGTGACTCGGTTTAATAAATCGAAAGCAAAAGACTAGAGGCAGAAAGACGGGCCCGTTTAAACATTGCAGGAAATCTCAAGGAGAGTCAGAACATAAACACCAACGATGACATCTTTCATCCTAAGGCTTCCTAGTCCCAGCCAAAATCCAAGAAAGGAGAAAACAAACCACTCAGGGGCCGTGGGGTCATTCATTAGCTGTTCCCTCCCTGGCTCCAGGCACCAGGGAAAGGCTCCCCAGCAGCTGTCTGTGCTTCTGCCCCTTCTCCTGAGCCCAGAGGACTGGGGGTGGCTAGGAGTTGGAGCAAGTGAGAAGATCAGAGAGGAGAAGAATGAAAAACAGAGTAAGCCCCCAGAGGAGTTAAAACAGGAGAGGAAATCCAGGGAAAGAGGCATAGATGCTGGCTGGAAAGTCAAGGCAGTCAGAGGAAGGAAAAGAGAAATGAGAGAAGCAATAAGAAGAGAAAGTAGAGGTTTTTGAAGCCCAAGATGTAGAATGTCAAAAAGATTGAGGGTCAATCCACCAGGAAGACAGAAACCCTAATGGTACATGAACCAAAGATCAGAACAGCAGCCTCTTCGGAGCAAAACCTGACAGAACTAAGGGGAAATGAGACAAATCCCTGAGGTGAGAACAAGGCACAGAGGTTCATGCTTCCTGGTCTTATCCAACACAGTGAAAAAGGAAGGTCTTGCCAGGGCCATCGGAAGCACAAGGACATAAACGGCTTACAGATTAGAAAGGGAGAAGCAACTGTCCCTATTTGCAGATGACATGATGTCTACATTGAAAACCATAAGGAATCTACAAAAACAAAAATACCTCTTAGAATTAATGAGAATTCAGCAGAGTTGCAAATACTAGACACACAAATCCAAATATATATCTATACACTGGCAACAAATACTTAGACACCAAAATTGGAAATACACTATTTACAATCACTCAAAAAATGTAAGTACTTAGGTTCACATCTAACAAAATCTGTGTGCTAAAAACTGCACAGTGATGATAAAAGATATCAAAGAGCTTTACTTTTTTAACTCATATATATTTTATTTCATCCAACATATTCTAAATATTAGTTTCAATAATCAACGCCAAAAAAAATTATTTTTTAATTGAGTAACAGTATGTGATTCATCAGCACAGGATCTCACCTCCTCAGATGCCTGTCACCAAAATATCCCCTCTACCCCAGCCCCCTCAGCCTCCTTCCACAGTCCATCCTCCACCCCTCCCCATCTTGCAGCGGTAATTCCACAGTCACATTTCTAGGGTTTGGTTTGGTTTCTCTATATTCTACATGTAAGTGAAACCATCTGGTATTTGTCTTTCTTCTTCTGACTATTTTGCTCAGCATTATCCCCAAAGAGTTTTTAAAAATAGAGAAACATACCACACTCATGAGTTGGAAGACTCAACATAGTAAGTATGTCCACTACTACCCACAAGTTAATAAACAGATTTAAAGACTCAGTGCAAGTCTGATCAAAATCCTAGTAAGAATTTTTTGTAAACATAGAAAAGATCGTTCTAAAGTGTATGGAGAGATGCAAAGGAGCTAGTCTAGTTAAAGCAGATTTGGAAAAGAAGAATAAAGTAGAAAGAGGCAGTCTACCCATTTATGAGGCTTGTGATATAACTACTGTAATCAAGACGTGGAATTGCAGAAGGACAGCCACATAGATAAATGGATCAAAAAAAAAAAAAAAGGAAAGGAAAGCAAAAATGGATCCACATAAATATGTCAACCAATCTTTCACTAAGGCACAAAAGCAATTCCACAGAGGAGAGTTGATCTTTTCAGCAAATGGTACTGGAGCAGCTAGACCTTCACTGGCAAAAACAAAAATGGAGAAAAAAGGAATCTTAGTAAAAGCTTCATGCCTTCCACAAAATGTAACTCAAAATGGATCATGGACTTGAATATAAAACTATAAATCTTTGGGGAAAAAATTAAGAGAAAATTTCAAAATGGAGATCTAGGCAAAGAATTCTTAGATTTAATGCCAAAACAGAAATTATAAATAAAAAGATGATAAGATTAAAAACTTTGTTCTATAAAAATCCTTATTAAATGGATGAAAAGATTTTCTAGTCAGGGCTTTCAAGTTCGCTTTGCGTCCTTCCTCCCCAGTTCTCACTCCCAATTCAAATCTTCCCTGCTCCGCGGGCTGAGGAGGGTGTGCGACGGTGGAGACATCTGGCAGATCTCACCTCGGAGGGATGACCATCTTTCCTGCTCTTGGGTCTCGGCCCCCTGTGAGGGGGTCAGCACACTCCCATTGTTGCTGCCAGAACTGGTCGCAGAGGAACAGGAACCCCCTCCTGCCTACACCTCCAAATATCATCCTGTGATATTTCTGCCGTTTTCTGTCCTGGTTTCTGTACTTACTCTCCAACCTGTCTTTCCCCTCAGCTTGTTGCCCAGGTCCTGGAACATAAAGATATAGGCTTCGTGATGGTGGATGCCAAGAAAGAAGCCAAGCTTGCCAAGAAACTGGGTAAGTGTGAAGTTTTGATATATAATAGGAAGAAACAAATGTCTTCTGCCCCCCCCCCCCAAAAAAATCACAATTGTATTTGTTCTTAAGTGATCACTGGACTATTTTTAAATAAGTATACAATGATCCTGTATACCTTAGGCCTGGGTTGGGGGAGAGTCTCGTGAAAGTAACTTGGCCTGAATTGAATGGTTTTACATTGATTTGTCTAATACATCTTGTGTCAGTGCAGCAATCAGGGTTTCTTCCTGGAGAAACTGATCCTAAAGGCCCAATGCTTTACTTTCAGGTCTTAGAGTTAAAAGCCAGCTGCTCTACCTCCCTGCCATGCTGCTTTCTTTGTGAGAGATCCAGTGTGTTCTCCCATCACCTCTTATTTCCTTACCTCTTGGCGAAAGCAGTCAACAAAAGATAACCTTAGTAGTAGTGACTCTGGGGTCCCAGAGGCTTCAAAATTGAAGGCTCAGGCCCAGCTGGGTATTATCACCAAGGATGCAGGGAAGGTTTTGATGAGACGTGGTGAAGGCTGTAATTTCTTGTGTCAATATGTCACGCTTAAGTGCAAGTGCACTTTAAGGTTCTTACACTGCTGATCCCAAAGAGAGAGAATATAGGTAACTCCTCTGGTCTGCAGACACCCACACATTTTGCCTCTTCTGCATGACTAGTGAAGAATGGCTATTAAAAATAGCAGGAGGTTATAAAACAGGACCTTTGATGAAAGGTTAATTGGATTTGGAGTGGTAAGCACAGGGGGGATAAAGATTATTGGTGGGTCAATAAATACCTTTGGGTACATGAGAGTTCATCACCCTAGAGAATGACAAACAATTGTTTTCTATTTTATTTTTCAGAAGAGCTGTCTTTTTATTTATTAAAGATTTAAATTATAGGTGGTGGCTGTATTTAGGCTAGACACAAGGGAGAATTCATAGCTATAAATTGATCATGGGTTAGTAAGAATGTCTGGAGTATTTCTTTCTTTGGAGACAATATAAGGAATATCCCCCTTGAGCAGGGCAGCAGAGATGCCCAGTGCTTTCCCTGGTCAAAAGCAATTTAAAGAGCTCCACCGCCTTCCCAGTGGCCTGCTGAGTCCATAGTCTTTGCCCTTCCCATTTTTTTCCTGAAAGGCTGGATTTGGGAGACTTCACCAGAAGAAAATGCTAGTGTTCTCACCATCTAAAAATTGGGAAACACGAATTGGATAGTGACCGTGAGACTAGAACGTGTGGCTCTTCTCCCATTGGAGGACACGTTGGGCTGGACAAGCTTTCTCCAAGCTCGGCCTGGAGGAGTCAGCGCAGGTCCTTTCTGGCTATTTGATCCTGAGTTTACAGGACGTTGTGTTCTGGGAAGCTGCTCCTTTCTCTTCATCCCCTCTTCATTTGCCTGAGTTCGATCTCCATCACGTCAGGCCTGAACTCGTGCAATCATAGAGCACGATCCAACAGCGGGACACTGGCGATGATCTCCAGCACCTCTGTGGGCCAGATTCAAGGAGACCTGGCATGATGCTCCTTTCAATATACAAATGGTGCTGCGTGAGGCCTGGGCTCTTCAGACGTGGGCTGGGCCACAGCAGGCAGCAGGCCAGCCTTTCCCTTGAGGTTCTGCAGAGGAGTTCATTGGGAGAAAGCACTCTCCAACTAATAGAGAGTTTGAAAACAATTAATCTAAGGAATTAGGATGCCAGGGAGTTGGACTGAACACCAGCCTCAGCTATTTAGCGCTCCTGGGGGGAAATGCAGTTTTCAGCAAGGAAGCATTTGTTTAAGTGTGCTGCAATGCGCCAAGATCAATGGCGTGGAGAAGAGAGGAAGCAGAACCTGCCCTGGGGCTCCTTTCAGCCACCTGGGAAAGGATGTGTATGATTCAGCCATGCTGCAGAAGCAAGCTGCCCACAAATATTAGGGGGCGTCTGGGAGACCAAGGTCAGTGGCCTACCCCTAGAGTACACACTGTGAGAGTGAACCGCTCTACCTTGGCAGAGGGAAGGTTAGTAACAGCAAGAGAAACTGGAGCAGCCTCCTTGGTAAAAATGAATCCCAAACTGAGACCGGAGGGAGCCCACTCACATGGGAGGAATAGAGGTGCCTCCTGACGGGGAGCAAGGAGATCACACGTGCAGACTCATGCCCTGTGACTTTCTCTCTGTGCATTCTCCAGCACGAAGCAAAGGGAGCTGCGCAGGGATTGAAAGAGCAGTTCTTGAAGGAGCCAGTCTGCCAGGAGGCCGCGGAGGGCTGACACTGGTTCGTGGGGCACTCGACTAGCAGGCGAAGCTGGACAGTGGGCATTAAGCTTCGGGATCAGGAGCAGGCGGTCAGCAGTAGTTCTTGAAAATGAAAGCAGTGATTCCCTTGAATTTTTTTTTTTTCTATTAAGTTAACAATCCATTGGAATTGTGAGTTCGTGATTATTTCAATTTAGATTTCCACTTGGGAGCCCTTTAAGTGTGGTTTCCAGGGGCCTGATCCTTGGTAAGCACCATTCCCCCATGCTGCCCCCACTGTCTCCAGGGGCCCTGAGCCAGGCCTGGCCCACAGGATGGCCTGTCCTACACCAGGATGCCTTCATCCCGGGAACTGTTTCTTTCTCCCAGGTTTTGATGAAGAAGGAAGCCTGTATGTTCTTAAAGGGGATCGTACGATTGAATTTGATGGCGAGTTTGCAGCGGACGTCTTGGTGGAATTCCTCTTGGACGTAAGCATTTATGCCCACTGACCCTGAGTTTGGATTTAAAATATGAACAGAGAAGCTGATGAACCTGCCTTGATCTTGGGCCAGTTTTTCAGGCTTTATCAAAAAAAAAAAAAAGAAAGAAAGAAAAGAGAGTGTCTCTTTCACAGTGTATTCACTTCTAAGAAATGGCTTTTAAGTCACCTTAGAGACTGACTCATCCAGAAACTGACCAGAGGGTCACAGATGGGGGCTGTGTAGTAGTAACACACAAATTCTCCTAGCAGTTATACACCAGTATCCCCTGAAACCGTCTCTTCTGGGGCTGTGAAGGGGAGCTGGGTGGATAGGAAAGAGGTGGCTGATCACCTGATGACAGTGAAGGGAGGAGAGTGACAAGCACCTTACTTCTACTAACAGCAGCACAGGAAGAGGCAGGGCCAATGAATCCCCAATATCACACTCCCCCCTCAGCCATGGAGGTACAGCACCCTCAGTCAGATCCATATGTCAGAGCAAACAGAGGGACAAGCACTATACAAGTGTTTTGTCCACAGATAAACTCACAAATTTAAATAACAGTTGTGGAGGCAAATGCTTTGTCTGTGCAGCTGTACATGTGATTCCTTATCAGCCAGCACGTCCCCTCGCCTTGCCTCTCTACCGCCAAGTCCCAGAGCCAGAGTGGGTGAGGCCCACCTCCCCCAGAAAAGTGCTCATTCACTCTGCTACACCACCTCATTGGCCCATATCCACAGGCCCTGTGAAAACGGAGGGTGGCCACAGAACCACGCTGAGTCACCAGGCCACTGCCCAGCTTCATCAGCAGGCCGGGGGCTTTTATACACAAGAAATCAAAATCAAACTCTGACTGCCCTAAACCATAAGTAATGTGAGCGGCCACATAAATGGCAGCCCAGACTGGGTGCAGATTTCAGACTTGATCCCACCAGAGCTCTCGTTCCATTTTTCTCTACAAATCACAGATTATGCTGCTGTCAGTGAATTGGCTTTGCCCGCAAACTGACTCGTCTTCAGTTGGACATAAAAGGGTGGTGCAAACGAATAGAGCACATTTCCTCACTCATATCCAATGAGAGGAAGGAAATTCTGCTTTCCCATTCTGTCGTCAAAGGGAAGAACTTTCCCGAGGCCATCAGCAAATCTATCCCAGAAATTCATTGACCAGGTTGGGGTTGCATGCTATTGCAGCCAATAACCAGAGAGGGAAGTAGAATCATCCCCAGACCAACCCACTGCCCCCCTGAGTTCCCTGAAGGCATGGCTCGGGTGTGCTCTCAGCAGAAGGCTGGGGTGGGTGCTGAGGGGCCACCATGGAGCCTACAGCCTCCCTCCCGAGGCTCATGAGCATGCGTTCCCTGCTGGGGAAAACAGTTCTTCTCTTATTTGAACATGTCGTGTGTGTGTTTGTGTGTGTGTGCATGTGTGTTGCAGCTAATTGAAGACCCAGTGGAGGTCATCAACAGCAAACTGGAAGTCCAAGCCTTTGAGCGCATTGAAGACCAGATCAAACTCATCGGCTATTTCAAGAGTGAGGACTCGGAATGTAAGTCACCTCAGCCCCAGCCTGTCCGTCTGAGGGACAGCTTCCCAAGATGTGCTGGGCCATCGGCACCCCCGTTCTGGGTAGAATGGAAGGAGAATCCCTGTGACATGGAACGCAGGTGTAGAAATGCTACAAATGGCCAGTGGAGCTGAAAAGAATGCCAAGGTTGGGCCCTGATCTTGAGCTTTGAAGGGGATGAGCGTGTCACAGAAGAGAAAGGAACCTTTCCTCCTCTCATCCCCCTGCCCACCTACTGGTTGGATTCTCCCTTCACACAGGGCAAAAATGGGCAGCTGCCATGCTCACCAGTTGGAGAGTTTCTAGTCCCTTGGATGGCATTTGGGTAGGGAGGGGCATAGCAGCTGCAGCACCAAGTGGAAAATTGCTGACCGAGCCCACAGCTGACCACCAAGGCTGCCGGCCTAATCCCACCCTTGGTCTGCTCCCACTGAAAGCTTGTGGCCAGGCTTCGGGTGGGCCCTGGAGCAGGTCACGGCACCTCCACCCATGCAGGGACCGGAGGGTGGTGAGGGGGAGGCAGGAAGGGCAGGCCAGGAGGGCTGACCACTTGAGTACGTTTTTTAAAACTGCTTTGACAGCACAGCTCCAGTGAGCTGAGGCCTCTTCTGATGCCAGCCTCGGAGAGAGGGAAAGTGTTCGAGGGAGCAGGCCTAACTGGGAAAGAGAATCTAGTGGAGCTGTAACATGGGGGAGGCTCAAATAGGTCTGCTAGGGCTGTTTTGGAAAACTCCAAAATATTTTGAAATTATTTGCAAAGTTGCTTTTTTATCCCATCTGCCTGCTGGCACCCTCAGCCATCTCGTCAACCACCCACCAATTTTCTGTCTCCCACGACCCGACATAACTGTCTTCTTATTTGCTCCATAAAAGCCTCTGTTCGCCTCCTTAGGAGCATGTTGGGGGGACGTGGTTAGGCAGGAAATAAAGGGATGTCTTCAGTTCACTGTTCACATTTCTGTACAGACACTGCCCCAGGGTGCTTCGCCCGCCCCTCTCTGCTTCCTCTCCTCACATTTCCTTCTATCCTCTTTATCCCTTCTGCCCCTCCCTCTCCATTTGTTTTCATCCTTTTGCTTCTTCCTTCTCCTCCTTCATTAAACTCAGGGGGGCAGAGAAGGGGGGAAGCCAGGCCAAGCTGGGAGAAGAGCACAACTCCCAGCTCCTGCCCCCACCCCACACACCCCAAGAGTAACTCTAGCTCCTGTAGTTAGTTAGCATAACCTGGGCCAGGGTCTGACGCCATGATTTCACTCTGGCAACGGGCCTGTAAGGTGATGGCCATTACCATCAATACTTTAATGATGAGAAAATGAAGGAACAGAAAGATTAAATTAACTCATTAAATCACACTGAGTAAGTAAATGCAGAACCAAGATTTACATCCCAGGAACTTGACTTTAGACTTTACCCTGAACCCCTGGACTTAGTTGCAGATTTCGCAAACTTTGCCAGTGACGGTGCATGTGGGCACATCGGTAAGCTAGAAGGAATCTGAACCTAATGGAAAACACACATTTTGGTTCTTTAATATAGTAATAGTAATAATTGGGCCTCCCTGGTGGCACAAGGGGTTAAGTCGCAACACTATGAAGCAATCTGCAGCCACTGCAGCACAAGTTCGATCCCCGGTAAGGGAGCTACCCACATGGCGCAGCAGACCTCTCCTGCCTTGCCCGCTGCTCCCCTCAGCAGTGTATTTCATTCAATCTGCCTGTTCTGTTCCCCACTCTGTCTCTGGCGAATCCTCTCACCCCCCCAACACCTCTGGCCTGTACCCCAGTTCTTGTATGCATAAATAAATAAATCTATAAAAAATAATAGTAATAATAAAAATAATAGGATAGTATCAAACAATACACTGCATAAATCTTCCAAATAAAATAGGTTAAGATTTTCAACAGGAATCTTGTATTTATTTGATGTATATACTTTTCAATATTAGGTTTTCTGCTTCAAATAGCAATGTAGTAAAAGAAAAAGGTTTTAAATGATCTCTTTAAAATCTTGGTAGTCACCCGAGACTTTGCTTACACAGGTGAAAGGTTGTAAAGACAGGACACACCTACATTCTCTTTGATGGTTGAACAGTCTTTTCTTGTCATTGAACAGGGTTTAAGGTGACCTAATCTCTAAAGTATCCTTCAAGGGTGTGAGCACTCTTTCTGTCTGGTATTACTTTCCTTTTCACTGACCATGTGTGATGCAGATATTTCTTATGATAATTTGAGTAAATTGCAAGTCCAACTGAACTTTATATTATAGATCTCAAAATTAGAATGAAAAATTTTCTTAGGAATACAGAAACACTGCTCTAAGGTCTTACAAATTTTTCTAAAGAATTAGATAATAAAATTACCTCTTTTTAAAGTTGACTTTTGCTTTTGAATGTTTCAACTTTGTCAGTACCCTCTGTGTGTTTCCCAAGGGCTTTACAGTGTACAGTTAACTTCATCCGGGGTTCAATGAGACCCAACATGTTTCAGAGCCAATAATTTTCCTTTAGAATTTTTTCAAAGTGAGTATAACTCATAATATTTTTTTCTCGATTCCACTGTTAGCTCATACATTCTTAGTAAAACTCTCTTTGGGCTGTGAGCCTGCGTTAGTGTGAAACAGCAGAGACAGGTCTTCTTGGCCCACATCTCCACCTACAGCTAAAAAGAAAAGGGGGTAAGGAGGCCTGGATGTCATGGGTGTCATCTTCTTAGAGCAATCTTTTATGTGGCTCCATCAGTGAATAAATATTACTTGAATTTCAAATTTTTCATCGTGAGCTCAAAGTAATCGTTGTCCATTCTCTTGATGATAGCCTCACCACCAGTGCACGGACTTGGGCAGTGTTCCCCAAATCTGTTTTGAAGTGTTCATCTACTTATTTGAATGTCTCATCCCCAGTGACTTGGTTTGGTTTATCTTTGCAAGATCAGTGATGTTATTCCAAGCATAATTCTCCACCACTTCTTTCTAGCTGGTGCAATTGACGATGTCTAGTTATTAATATCTGTAAGTTCACCAGACTACAAGACATTTTTGAATCAAGATTAAAGAAAAACACATGGTATTCGGTTCTGCTTGCACTTGTCTAAGCCTTAAACATTTTAACCCTGTTTTCTTTGAAGTGGATAGTCTGTGTTAAGGGGCAGCTGGGTTTATGGAGTGGTAGGCACCTCTCACTGTCTGTTTCTTCTTGCTTTTAAAAAGAGAACAGGTCTGTGAGAGGGGACGCTGTCGGGGGAAACACCCAGGACAGCACTTGAGAGTCCTGTATTTCCGCTGTTGTTTGAGGATACCGATCAAGGAAATTTAATAATACAGAAGGCACTGGCCTTCCAGATGATCCCAGGCTTTTCTATACAGCAAGAGTGATGGAGAGACAGTGGGGATATTGGAAGATTTAAAGTAGAGGCCGACAGGAATGTTCTTGGAAAAGAAGGATCCTGAGCTTTGTGCCAAACTAAAAACTACTTGGAAGAACCAACAGGCTACATCTTCCAAGGAGGTTGCTTAAGCACCCAGTAGCTATGGTTGCATGTAGCTTAAGCATGTAGTCATGGATGTTAGTGTTGGGAGAATGTGACAAGAACGTTCTGGGGGATCTCAGTTTATGCTTAAGAATCCCACACTGGGATGATCTGGAATGAAGAGGTCAATATCCAGGATGGGAAATGTGGAAAAATGGGGAAGAAAATGAGGAAATAATAAGGTAACTCTCTGATAAGTGGGAGGTTGAAGATTGACTATTCAGTATCCTATGGCAGAAGGAGAAAGAGGCATTAAGGTGACAGTGAAGAGCAAAAAGGAGCTGATCTGCATCAAAAGAGAACATGAGAGCAGGAAAAATATCAGGAACATATGAATCAGAGAGAGCAGAAGACCGGAGCAGGCATCCTAGAAGACAGCTACTATTCGTGTGAGGCTAACAGTTCAGCCATGTTTTAAAGCAGCATCTTGGGGAGTTACCTTGCTCTACTCTTCATCTTAAAAGGAATTGAGACTAGCAGCCCGAGATATGAAGAGCTTCCTCTTGACATAGGGCCAGGCCAATTTCCCATCAGAGCAGGAGTTTTTGAAGGTCTGGAAAAATTCAACAGGGATAAGGGGGTATGAGATAGAAGGAACAGAGGATTCTGTGGATCGCACTGTTGCCTTAGATAGATTAAATAGCTTTTTGCTGTAACTATTCAATTTTCTATATTCTCTCTCTTCTCTGTTCACTCTCCAAATCTCCTACCCATCTTTGTCCCCTCCACTCAACCCTCTACCCCAACTATCAGGACAAATGATGTACTTTCTGACAACCCAATTACCTGTATGAAGATGATTTTTGTTTGAATGTGTATCAGTATGTATAGATACTATAAATTTTCAACCACTTTCTCACTATTACAACAACTCTATTACAACAACACATTCTATTGTGATTCTTTAAGGGTCCATTAAGCCTCAAGTTTTGAGCTATGAGCCTTTGTAGACACTGTCTGTGTCTTAATCCTCTCAGTGCCCCTGAGCCAGCATTATTCTTGAAATGTGTTTTGATTGAATATTAGGAAATTCTGCATATTCCTTGAATTATTGCAAAAGTCTACACCTCTGATGATTAAGGGATATGGAATAAAAATTTTATGGAAATAAAATGGAAAAAAGTTAATCTTGTTATGAATGAATCATTGGCTCAGTGGCTCTCAGGATTATAGACTCTGCAGCACAACCACCACCATTACCATCCCCCTTGAACCTGAGGCTTGAATATGAATGTCTTTGCCAAGTAGCTGTCAAGGGGTAACAAGGCACAGCTTTGCCATCCTCACGTGGCCTCATGCCCATCTTGACCAGTTTGCACTCAAGTTTGGGACGTTCTAGCATAAGCTTGATTAATTTCAAATCATCCTTTCAGGGAATCATAATAAAAATGGAAAGCTTAAAAAAGAGGGAAAGAAAAACTAGGATTTACCAGAAAGGGCTCTCCAGCTAAGACGTTCAAACTACTTCTGTGATGTCATTTTTGATTGAGTTGCTGTGCATGGGAAGTTTTCTTAGTGCTGATTTATTTATACAGCAGCTGCACTCTCCAGAGGGCACACTTCCAACTGGCAGTGAGGGTGAGCACTTTTTCTTTTGGAGTTTGACAATTCTTTTTCTCTCCCTTTTCCTCTCTCAATTTCCTCCTTTTTTCCCCCTTTCAGATTACCACTTTCATAAAACATAAAAGTGGGGTTATGAATTCCTTTGGGCAGTTGAATGCAGCTAATTCAAACTTCTTGGAGGAGACTATGTATTCACATAATACTAAATAATCAGGCATCTAAGTAATATCTAGTAAATAAATTATCTGATAAGATCAATAGGCTTCCAGCTCTCTCCACACCATTAAAAAATGAAAATTTCTGTAGTGTCCCTCTTGAACTGCCTTCCCTTTTCTCTTTTTTCTTCATAGACTACAAGGCTTTTGAAGAGGCAGCTGAACACTTCCAGCCTTATATCAAGTTCTTTGCTACCTTCGACAAAGGGGTAAGTATCTATGAAACTCCAATTTGAACACTTTTGTTGGTTCTCTAGAAGTCTTAGAAATGTGGCAATAAATCACTATTGAGTGAGAGATGAGCACAAAGAGAGTAATCCAGAAGATGTGAGGGTGTTCCCAAAAGCTCGCAGTGAAAAGTGACAGCTCGCCCTTCATTGTCTTGAGTGAAGATGGGAAGCTTATGAGCACAGTGTGTGTCTCTGCTTCCTTTCTCTTAAGAGCCATCCTCTGCCTTCCTGGTGCAAATGCTTCCTACTTTCCAGAGTTAGGATAAGGGGGGAGAAGGAGAGAAGCATTGACTACTGAAGATCTGGGTGCTTCAGAAAGTCACCCTCATCTTCAGGGCATGGGGTGGATGGTCTCTATAATTCAATTGCTCTTTATTTCTGGATGTGAAAATTGCTTTTATATAAAAAAAAGATAAAAAAAAGCAAAACAAAACAGTAGAGATAGAAGAAACTAGAGTCACTGGTTAATTTCCTGGGGATCTTTTGTATTTAGAATACTCCATTCTGGTTTCAGTCACTACTAAAAGGCTATTCATCAATTGCCTTCTGTGTGCTGGGTACTATTTGATATTTTTCACTTATACTATCTGTAATCCTTTGAAGATCTCCAAAAAGAACCCCACTTCTTAGATGAGAAAAGAAATTCAGATTTAAGTAATATCCTAGGTCTCCAGCAAATTCATGGTAGTGCGGAGGTCCTAATTTAGGACAATTTGTGCCTAAAACCCATGCCCTTTCTCTTATCAGAGCTTTAAAAATAAGACTCTGCCCCTGAGAGTCAGTGTGCACACCACATACCACACTATCACACCCACCTCGCACCCACACAATACACATTCATACAACTTTCAGACATAACACATAGTAACTCATATACCCTGACATCTACACCCACATAACGCACATATACCCCAATTAAAAGCCCTGGATTATTGTATTTTCTAGGACAAATAAATTCAGATCCTGATCAAATTTAAGTTAAAGTTAATCAGCAAGTGGCCTACTGAGGAGTAAGAGTTGTAAGCTGGGCTCATGGTCTGTATCCATGAGGAGTACAAGTATTTTGTGAAAAATGAGAGAAAGCCTATAGTTGCTGAAACAGGAAAGGAACATGATAAAGAGATTGCATTCAGTTTATATGTATATATATATATATATATATATATATATATAGAGAGAGAGAGAGAGAGAGAGAGACAGAGAGACAGAGAGACAGAGAGACAGAGAGACAGAGAGAGTGTGTGACTTCTGTCTAAAAAACTATAATCCAGGAGATCTATAATGTAAGTAATATTATCTAAACTTGAAGAAAAATCACTCAAATGGGTTCACTTAGAGTTAGGAGAGATTTTGAGCAAGAACAGTGATTATCATTGATAGCAATTGTCGCTGATTTTTGTATGTACCAGGCCGTGAGCTGAGAGATTTATATAGGCTTTCTCATTGAATCCTCTCAACACCCCTATAAGGGAAGAGCTAGTATTCTCAGTCTGCAGAGGCCTCCTACTTGGTAACAGTGAACCTCAGGCCAGCCTGGGTTCAAAGCCACTGCTCTGACTCCTGTGCTCTGGTGCCAGGCACACCAGAAGCACTCAGCAGATGTCAGCCAGCCACAAGCACTGTTGTTAACAAGAGGCAGTCGCCAAAGCCCAGGAGAACAGCAGCTGGGGGAGGTCAGTAGAAAAGGGAAGGTGCAGGAGAGGAGGTACAATGAACCCCTCACTGAGTGGCCAGGAGTGACTAACATGTCTTCTGTGTAAAACTTACTGAGGAAAAAAAGTCAGGTAGACAAGCTGGCCCATACATCAAAGCCTGGGTTCTTAGAAGGGCGGCCCAGTGTTGAGTTCACAGTAGTGTCAGCTTTCAGACAAGCCTCTGGGCCAACCATATGGCTTCGTGCCTGTGACCCATGAAGAAGGTGAGGTAAGGCTATAATTAAAGACTAGAAGGTGCTTCACCAAGAGCTGTAGACCCTGAGTCATAAGTGGCACTGTTCATGCAGCCTTGTGGGTTTCACACATTTAAAGACAGAAGGACATACTCTCGGTGGTACAGTAGGGAAAGGTCGTGGCATTAAGAGCACTCAGTGTTATTTGGGGTTTCACAACTTGCACCATGGGCAGGGGAGGGAGGACATGACAGTGCCCAGTGGGGAATGGTGGGGGCCAGAAGCCGTGAGTGTGCCCAAAAAGCACTGCAGCGTTGCCTGGCAAGGGACTGGAGCAGAAGTGACTGGAAGGACCTGTTTGTGAGACACACCCTAGGGAACCCCAGAGGGACCTGGGGGAGGGGAGGTGCTGTCGGGAGATTTGAAACCCAGAGAGACGAGGGCCAAAGAAGCACTAATGCAGTTCCAGAGGTGACAAGACCAGCTGCCAGAAGTTGAGCTGCTAATGGATGACTTGCTCACTGGTGAGATGGAAAGATGAGAGAAGGCTCAAATAATAACTAAAGGTTCTAAATCTCAGCTTCGGCACAGCACAGATTATGAAGCTACTGAAAACATTAGGAAATCTAGGGAGGAGAATCTGGAATGGAAGAGGGAGTGAAGAGTTCTCACTTTCTACCAGTTGGAATGGGGTTTGACTGGAATTTCTTTCATTCATTCACTCACTGATTATCTTTCATGTGCCCGGGACACAAGATTGAACAAAACAGATCCCTGCCCTTGTAAAATGTAAGGTTTCGTGATGGTAAAGGGGGGTGAAAATATGGGGAAACAGAAAATAAGTGAACAGACTAATACATCTGTGACTCGGAGGGTGACATGCCAGGGCTGCGGGCACACATGTGGGAGTCGTAGTTTCCAATCACTGTCTGTATCGGTGACCCCCAGATTCCCGGCTCGTGGAAAGTGGATGTTTCTTAGGGTTGTGCTGGGTTACAGGAACATGCATTTTCAAAAGGCTCCATGAGGGGAGAGAGGAACAGGCTTGGGACCAGCACTGATCCTTGGGTCCTGCTCCAAAAGCAAGAACAGGAGAGCAGAATGGCGATGAAGCAAATAGAGCAAGAGACTCTGAGGCTAAGCGTGGCATCCCCGCCACTGCATCTTACACTTAAAAACTCAGTTTTAATCACCCCAATGTCACCTCCCACTGGCTGATTCTTTTCTCAGAGTGAACAGTGAGAAGCAAATTCATTTTCTCTTTTGAATCATACCGGGTGGTATAAAAGGCACTGTCATTGTCTAAATACAGTTGATGGGGAAGACAGATGTTGGGTAGCCCAGAGCCAGTGCATAGGTTTCATTTGCAATAACTGAAATGTCCTGCTAGCTTGTAGGAAAAACCTGTTTCGAAATCCTAACACACGCAAATAAACAAATAGCCATTTTCAATTGTAGTTTTCTTGTCTTGGACAAAATCTATCCCAACTTATTTCTGGGATTTTTTTTTTTTAAGGTATGAAAGAACTTATTATATAGGCCTATTCTATTTTTTTTTAAGATTTATCCATTTTTATTCAAGAACCAGGGTACAGGCCAGATACGCGGGAGGATGAGAGGATTCACTGGAGACAGAGTGGGGAACAGAACAGGCAGACTGACTGAAATACACTGCTGAGGGGAGCAGCGGGCGAGGCAGGGGAAGTCTGCTCACCATGTGGGTTGCTCCGAGGCTGGCAGGGATCGAACCAGCACTGCAGAGGCTGCAGACAGCTTCACAGCGCTGTGCTCAACCGCCTGCGCCACCAGGGAGGCCCCCTATTCTATTTTTAATAGTGAAATCCATTTTTAGATAATTGGTATGCCTGGAAACCAGGTCTGGTCCCAGAACAGTGCCTCAGATGAGTGGGTGCCACTAAAAACTAATTGAATAAATGAATGAATCAATGCCTCAATCAATCACATCTTGTTCAGTCCCTACTAACTAAGATACAATGAAAAGAATGGAAGACATGGAGTCCCCGAGAAATGATATGAGGCCAATCCATGGTGGTGGGGGATGCCAGTGGACCTCTGGGAATTTTTTCTCAGGGCTTACAAGGTTTAAACTTAAAAATCCTATAATCCAGCTTGACATTCGTGATTATAATACTGCAGATCTAGACACCAGGATTCAAGGGCCAGAGACCACCTCCCCTCACCACCCCACACATACATACATGTGCACGCCCACGACACACTTCTCACTCTCACTTAATTCTAGCAGACCGCGATGCAGGAAGACTTGACCAGAGCATGTGACCAGAGAAACAAGGAAACAGTCACTAAAACACGTGCGGCACCAATGTCATGTCTGCAGGGACAGATACTCCTGCCCACAGAATGTCAAGGAGAAGGTCATATTCAAATGAGAGAACTGGCAGGTTAGAGTCTCCCTCCTTTGCCCGAGCTGGAACCCAGGCTCGGTCCCCTTCAGGGCTGTGATCTTGACCAAGCACATATTCAAACAGCCTCAGGTTCAACATTTGTCAAATGAGTTATGATGACAGTTCTTCCCTCTTGTCTCAAAGTGGTCAACCTAGAATACTTTGCTCATACAAAGAACACCATGTGCTCACTCTAATTACTGCTTGTGGTCACTGGTCATTTTCCACCTCAGGAAAATACAGTTTCCTGGTTCCCAGAACATGTAGAAAGTGAACTCAGAAAATCAGAATCCAAGGTTCGCTTCGACCCCTTTCATTCTGTGGTGGGACCAGCTGGGCAAGCGCGGTGCGTAAACCCAGACATGGGTGGATACTTGCTGATCCCTCCCCCGGCCTGTGCGTCCACCACCACATCACCCACACCCCCGCCCCCTACAAGAGGGAAAAAGTAAGAGAAACCCCACACCTCTCTGTCCCTTAAAATCAACTTGACCAGAGCTCCTCTGACTGCCTGTAGCTCTTAACATGGCCTGTTTTCTTTAGTTCTGAGTAGGAAGCTGGAATTTCTTTCACTTCAATAAGAAATGCCTTTTGGAATACAGTGACCTGGAACTAATAGCAATTGATGGCGAAAACCGTGGGGATATCAGTGTTTCCTCAGAACAGACCTCCTTGTGTAACAGCTTATGTAACCCTGTCCTCCCTCCCCACTTGGTTCTGGCCGTCAGGGCCTCTGCCCTGCGGTCACCGCCCGGGCACTGAGGCAATTCCTTGAGCTTCAAGAGAGCCACTGTTCATCCCAGGCCCTCCGAGACCACAGCTCGGAACTAGAAAAGAATAGCATTTGGTTTTCTACACAGTGGTGCACATTCCAGGCCCCTCGAATCACCCCACAAAAAGAGGCTCTGAGTTCAGCAGCCCTGCAGGCAAGCACAGGCCCCTCCTGCCCCGAAAGAGCCGTGGGCCAGTCATAGAGCGCTGGCCCCCAGGCCGCAGTCGGCCCCAAGCTTGCCGTCCTGCACCCACTGCACCGAGCGTCCTGGCCTGCCGGGACTGCCCAGCTTTAGCGCCGAGAGTCCGAATCCCTGGCAGCCCCTCCTCCAGGATGGCGGTCGCCTCTGACTGGTAACAGAGAGGAGAAACCCAAAGCCCGAGACAAGGGGGACGAGGAGAACCCCAAAGCCTGAGATGTCCCCTATGGGGGATGAGGCCCCTAGGGCTCGCGTTTAGCCTTGGTTGTAATTCGGACTTATGAGCTGATCAAGGACAGGTGAGTGGGTGGGGCCCTGATTCTAAATATCTATGTCCTTGAAATCGTTGCTATCAATTTCCTATCAAAACGGGTTCAATTAAATCCATGCACCCTGGACGCTGAGCACGCTCTGCCGACATGCTCTTCCTCCCTTGGTCCCGGCCACGGCAGTGGATGATGTGACTGCAGAATCCAGCAGCCCGCTCTTCAGCCTGCTGTCCCTGCTCCTGCTTGGACCTCATTGTTTGTTTCTCCCCGTCTGCCCTTCTCTGCTCATGGCAGGAGGCTGGCCCAGCCAGGCCTCTGCCAGGAGTTCCTATGACTGCAACTTTAAATCACAACTGCGTGTGCACACTCATGTCCTTGCCAGAGAGCACACTCACTTCTTGTAGATGGAGAATCCTCTGCCACTCAAGATGAGCCCCCAAGGAGGCTATTGTCACGTTTCTCCTTGTTACAGGTGGCAAAGAAATTGTCTTTGAAGATGAATGAGGTTGACTTCTACGAGCCGTTCATGGATGAGCCCATCACCGTTCCTGACAAGCCTCACACCGAAGAGGAGCTGGTGGAGTTTGTGAAGGAGCATCAAAGGTGCCCCCAGATGGCATGCAGGAGATGGGGGAGCCAGGCCTGGGGAGTGGAGAAGGGACCCTCAGTCCTGACGTTTCAGACCCCTAATAGCAACAACCTGGAGCTCCTGCCACAGCAGAACCAAACTCAGTGATGTGGCTGTGCTGGACATGGACCCGCAGCGTCCACGTCGCCACATGTTCTGAGTGTGGTCTGCACTGCACACGAGGTCAGACCCCTCCTCCCCATCAGCAGGTCCACTCAGAGTTGGAGCAAGAAATAAGGGATGCAAGGCAAGCAACTGTGATGTGCAACAGCCTCCTAAAGTCCTCTACAGTCTATTAAAGTCCTAAAATAGCTGATGGAAGCTAGTTCACCTAAGCTTCCACATTATGGGGTAATTATTATTACCCTAATTTTACAGATCAAAGATTGAGTTCAAAGTAGTTAAATAACTGAGCCACAGGTGAGCGCGCCAAACACAGACACTCGGGACAGGAAGGCTTGATACCCGGAGAAGCCCTCCCTTGGGCCCTATCGACGTGTCCACCACACTTGTCAATATTTAGAAAGAAATGAAACCATGAGGAAAATAGCAGTCCTGCCTGCTCCCCCAAACAGCCCTAAAGGGTTTTTTGCAGAAGTCCCTAAAACTACAGCTCTAGGCTGGGGAAACAAAAATGCGCTGTTTTCTCTCCCAAGCCTCCTCGTTCTGGACATGCTCTGTGCTCCCAGGAGGGGTGTCTGTGTGTGAGGAGGGAAATGACTCCGTACCCCAGTAGTGAGCTGACCCTTGCCCTCTGACCCGTTGTTTGTAATAGACTTTATAATCCTTGGGTCATCTGGGTCCATGAAAACGCTGAGTTTTAGGTCCAACTCTCTGGGTGACAGAGCAAGGCAGACCTGCACCTTATCCTTGGTGGGGAGCCGGGCCCCAGAGCTCTTCCTGTCCATGTGGCTGAATCGATGTTGCATTTTACCTTTTGCTGTGCTGCGGCCGTGTGTCTGTCCTGGTGGTCCCTACTCAAGGAAGCTTATCTCTTTTTTCCCTCCCAGACCCACTCTGCGTCGCCTGCGCCCGGAAGACATGTTCGAAACGTGGGTAAGAAAGCGTGAAACTCACATGCTCTGTCGTAGCTGGTGTATTTCCCCAAGAGGAGCACCCCCTTGAAGATCCGAAGCAAATCAAGTCCTATTTGGCTGGGTTGGATGTCTGGATGGTGGATGTAAGGGCAGGAAGGCCACTGAGCAGGTTTTCTGATCCAGCAGATGGGGTAAAGGAGGAGAGAGGCCTGGAGCCCTCGGTGGCTTTTGCAGGCTTTTATTGGGATTTATCAGGCATACGGCAGGCAGGGGTGCTGGGGGGCCGGGAGGCTGGCAGGCCTCCCAGCCCCCAGCAAGTCTTCACTCTGTCTGGGCTCTCCGGCCTTCTCTGGTGGTCTCTGCTTCTCTGCTCTTCTCGTGGTTCTCCTGGCGTCCCCGTGATGCCGCCCTTATTAGCTCAGTCTCTCAGCCCAGGTGAATCCCATCTACCTAGGCCCACACCCTACTCCAGGTGCCCACCGTCAGGCATGCATTCAGGACCGCAAGGATCCATCATCAAATCCTAATGGTGGGAAGGCAGAAAAGCCTGATGCTTTTCTTACCCTACAGTGGAGTATTTGAAACACCAACAGCATCAAGCCCAATCAGAACTCAGTTCTCCCTGGATCCAATTTAGGCGTCTTTCTGCTGCCCACCAGGCAGATTACTCTATCACTGAGATCATTTCCCACAAGGCCTACTGGCCTTCTGTTCACTGCCCACCATGACCCCAGGGTGTCAGTGGTGAACCCAGGTGATGGAGTCAGAGAGACGGGGGCGCCAGGCCAGAATCTGCTATCCGGGAGCTTTGCATCCTACAAGTCACATGGTCTTTTGAGTTTTATTTTCTGTATCTAAACTCAGCGCTTTTTGTAAAGATGGTAGCTACTCAATGAATGACAGCTGTTTTTGTAAATGTCAACCAGGGCTCAGCAAAGTTCAGTCCAGTTGTCCCCATCTCTGTGTCACAGACAACGTTGGGCAGGTCTAGAAGGGTACTTTGGAGATACGACTTCCCACCTGACTCAACTTCATACAAAAACCTGTAAACAATGCCAAAATTCTGTGGAGTATTTTTCAAAGTATTTCTTCTATCCTTTTACTTGGAAAGGGATATAAGACAAGTATTATTTAAGCCCCCAATTTATGTGGGGAATCTGATGACCATATGGAAACATAACTTATAAGTATTGTCTTGGGATTTAAGTTTAGACCATCTGGAGCCAAATGTCATGTTCTCTCCCTAGAGGTCATGTCCCCAGAATTTAGCATGGAGGAGGGGAAACATAAGCAAGAGGAACATGGAAGCATTTACTTATTAATTCTTTAATTCTAAATCTAAAGTGATGTTGAACAGAACCATGGAGTAACTTGAAACTTCTTTTTAACTAGCATGCAACTTATCTGGATGTGTGAAGGTAGAACAAACATTTCATAAGACACAGAAACGCAAATAATCCAGTCTGGAGCAGATGATTTAAGAACAACCCGGCACAATAGAAACATATTTTCCTGACATTTAAACCTTTTAAAAATTTAACCTTTAAAAGGTCTGACTATGAGATTTTAAAATAACATAAAGGGGAAACAGTGCTTTAAAAATAATATTTTTTTCACTTAAAAGTAATTTCATATGTATGAAAAATAGTGCAAAGAAGCTTGTGAGCTCTTAACTCAGGTTCCCCAAATGTAAACATTTTGCCATTTTTGTTTATCAAGTGACAGAGACAGACAGACAGATGATGGCCAGATGGATGGATGAATAGAGATTAAGATAGTGGAGTGTTTCTTTTTTCTTTCTTTTTTTTTTTTGGGCTGTGTGAGAGTAAGCAAGAGACACAATTTCCCTTTACCCATAAATATTTCAGATGTTTTCTAAAAATGACTTTCTCTGTCATGACCCCAGTACGCTTATTGAAATGGGAAATCAACCCCAGCTTGGTTCTCCCATCTCATCTACGGGCCTTATTAAATTGATGGGCTGCCCACTCATGTCCTTTATAGCATAAGAAAAACAATTTTTTTTCCTGGCCCAGGATTCAAGCCTGAATCACACATTTTCATTTGGTTGTTACGATTCTTCACTGACCTTTCATCTGGAATAGGTTCTTGGTCCCTCTGTATTCATAACACAAGCCACTATTTTAAATCAAGAATGTTCTGTTCTGTTCTGCAATGCCTTTATTCTGAGATCTTTATTTTCTTCATCCCTAAGGGATATCTCAATTATCTAGGCTCCTGCAAAAATTGTGGAACCTTCTCTCAGGACTTTGCACACAGACACAGCGGCACCACAGCAGAGAACTCCCCCGCCATCACCACCATCATCAATGCCTCAACACCCCCACTACCCCACAGAAATGCTCCTTCTCATGGCCTCAAGGCAGATGCCCTGAAAGGGCACCCCCTGTGGGGCTTCCCTGGAATGCACTCTGCTTTCTCTCCAATTAATGCTAAGATAAGTTACAGCTTTGCAATCATGTAAAATAACAGTGATGGCGCATAGTCTCCACATTATTATATATTCCATTGTTTTCTAATTGGAAAAAGACTGTGTATTGAATTTAACCAGGTAGAGAAAAGGGCAGGTAGGCTGGCTTATTTCTTTTCAACACCCATCCTGAAATTCCCACACAATTTCCCAGAAACCCTCACCAGACCTGCCCGTCCCTCATCCAGCTAAGGAGGGAGGCAGCACAGGTTCTCCAGGATCAGCTTTATGTCATGACAGAGAATAAGCAGAAATCAGTCTGTCAAAAGGATCTCTGGAGAGCCACTCCCTGTCCCTCCGCCCCCCACTTACCTCATCCCCCCAGGAGGGCACAGCTCCAAAAAGCAGCTTCTCCATGGGCCACTTGGCCACAGCAACTTAAACCACAGATGCTGGGCAAAGTGATCAGCGAATGAACTTAGAAGTCTATCTTCAACCCCCACTTGCCCAGACATTGCAAAATATTTAAATAAGACAGACAAGGCAACTATTGACCTTCTCACCCCAACCGCAAAGGGTATTAAAGCCGGAAACCATAGAAATCACATCATTTATTATTACTGGAGAAATTGCTACCTGGTCATATTTGTTGTGTGTAAATTAGATCGCTATTAGTCATTCATTTAAAATATTCAAAGAATGTCAAGGTGAGGCTGGGTGATCCAGACCCAGCGCTGACCTGTCTGCCCCTTTAAGACTCCACCTTCCAACAGGCTTCTCCAGACAAGTGCTGAGCCTCGGTAAGAGCACACAGGCAGGGGAGTCAATGATTCCTGCTAAAAGAATCCTCCCTCTGTTGCAGTGGAAAAGTAGCTCCCCAAGGAGACCAGAACATCCAGCTGAGCCCCCAGAGCACACTGCATTGTACCAGGGAGTCTGCCAGCATTAACTGCCTTCTTTTCCTTTGCATCCCTCATGCAACATGAGAACAGACACTCAATGAGACTGGAAGGAGGAACACAATATGGACAGTGCTAATCTCTCTGGTTGGTGGATCAATGATATTTGTTTTCTTCTCTGTATCTCTAATTTTTTTTTCAATTTCCTCCAACCAGTATGTAAGATTTTATACTCTTTTTGCAAGGGCAAAGTAGTTCATACTTTTTCTTTAGTCACTAGGTATTCATAAGATCCTATTATCTTGTGCTAATCAAAGAGCCTATCATTGTTATTTGAAGGCATAATCCTGTCCCTCTGAGAGCATGGCATCTGGTCGAGAACGGAAGGCCTGTGCAATTAAAAGACCATTCCCACGGCTATGTGATCTCAACCAAAGGGTCCAGAAAAAGCCCGAGGGTGGTCTCAGTCCTATGGGAGGGTCAGTCACGAGCTTCCAAATGGCCATGGGGCAAGTGTGTACCTGCTTCTTTGTGGGTGTTCAGTACAGGCTTGTGTGCTGAATCTTTGAGGACCCCCCCCCCCAAAGGAGAAAGTCTTTCTCTTGGTTTCACCTCTCCCTCCAAGGCCATTTCAGGTCCAGGGAGTGACAGCACATTATGAGCAGCCTCTTAGAAAATGAGTATGGATTCTTAATTCTAAAACCAATTTCCAAGTGTGTTCTAGAAGGGCACACAGAAATGAAGCCTGTTTCACAGAGTTAACACCGCGCACTTCCTACCGATGGCAGGAGACGAGACACAGGGCCACCTAATGAGAACTGATCAGGATATTCTGCTTGGCGATAATAGCAAATGTAAAACTGTGAAACCTCAGACTCCCCTTCTGGCTGCTGTCGGATTTGTGTAATAAAACTGTGCACACATACACACACACACACACATCTAGCTGCGAAATTGAATTCTCCAGAGAATCTGACCGAGGCAGCGGCCATTCTCTTGTTTTTCATAATAATATTTTTCATTTAATCTGTTAGAATTTTTGGAGGTTTTGTCCATTCTAAACTCAAAGGAAAAAAATTAGCATTTAGATAGGATTGCACCAGCATTAAAATCAATTGAAATGGAGACAGAGATCATGGGAGAGTGAGATGCCTGGAGTTTATTTTTTTTTTTCCATAGGATGAGGCTGATAGGACATTGTGGGGGGGCAGCGAATCCCTCTCCCCACATCAGCGATAATCAGTATTCACACAAATTTGTCCCCAGTGTCTCATCCTCACACATCTTCCTCTCCAAGTCTCATGAGAGTCACATTACTTCGAGCAGAGACCCCTGCACACTCACATCCACCCTCCTCAGGAATAATCAGCGCAGAGGAGACACGTGGCAGATGGTCTCTTCTGTCCAGGACAGAGAAACAAGTGCCACAGGTGCACCCGCAGATTTGAAATACCACTCCCTCCCTCTAGACTCTCAGCTTTGCCCCACCCCACCCCCCAGCCACCTTTCATTTTTATTATCACACATCCTCAAACTTCCAGAACCCCCAAAGACCACTTCCTGGAACCTCCCACACTCACAGACATGTTTTCAAGACCTAGGCTACTTCAGCAAGTTTTGGGTCCAGAACAGAAGGGACCCCAAGGAAACTCTCTGGAGGTCACAGCCACATGACGTCCCACTGACCACATAGGTTCTGCTTCTGCAATAACAGGTGTGTTATGGGAGAAGCACTACCTTTGTGTATGAGTCCTGGGCGAACAAGCTGGGACAGGTGAGGACCCCCCAGCACCACTCAGCAGTGTCATAACCTGGTGCGTTGCTGGAAGTATTTGCTGGTGGGAAATTCTTTTTATTTTTTTATTTTTAAAGATTTATTTTATTTATTTGTGCATACAAGAGCTGGGGTATAGGTCAGAGGTGTGGGGGTGAGAGGATTCACCAGAGACAGAGTGGGGAGCAAAACAGGCAGATTGACTGAAATACACTGCTGAGGGGAGCAGCGGGTGAGACAGGAGAGGTCTGCTGCGCCATGTGGGTCAGCTCCCCGGCCAGGGATCGAACTGGTGCTGATAGCTTCATAGTGCTGAGACTTAAACCCTGCTAGTGGGAAATTCTTCAAGCAGACTGACGTCCCCATTCACCTGGCTGCATTCGAGGCCTCAGAGCTCCTGATGTGCCAGCTCACTTTCTTCCTTGTTTTGCTTTCACTGCTGCTCTCCTGGACCCACCAGACCACGGGCATAGACCATTCACTGCTAGTGTCTGTGTCATTGGTGTTTCCTCCTGCCAGCCCATGTATCAAGTGCCATGCGTTCTTCCCAGTCGCTCCTCAGCAGCCCCTTCCTCGATGTGTTCCCCTGCTCTGCCCACTGTGCCTGTGCCTCCTCGCCCTCTGCTGCCTCCTCCCTCCATCTCCATTATTTTATTTTATTTTATATATTTTTTACATCATTTTTCATTTTTGCACAATGTATGCGTTTTCATCTTGGTGATATTCCCCATACAATTCCCACCCCCCTTATTTTGACCTTAATTCCTCGCCCGCGTAGTGTGTCTCTGGTTTATAGTTGCTTGTTGATTTTGATTTTTACTTTATTATACTTAGTCTTTTTCCATCTCCATTCTAGCCCCATCTGTCCCTGACTCTCCCCACTGCATCTCTCCAGAGGTAACCCTTGATTCGTTTCTCCCACAGGAAGATGATTTGAACGGAATCCACATCGTGGCCTTTGCAGAAAGGAGTGACCCAGGTAGGAATCCCCCAATCTGCATTTTCACTCCTGAAGCAAGAACTGACTTGTCACCTTTGTCAGCCCTTGGCCTCCCCTCCGCAGTGCGACCGCGAGCTATTGGGTGCCCCCTGGTGGTCACCTGCTAGGCAAGCCCCTTTCCACTGAGCTAGGAGAACAGATGTGGACACACAGGACCTCAAATATTCCACTAACTGCCCAATGTAGGAAGAGAAGCTGAGGATATATGGGGTATTAAAACATCCTAGCCTTACAGGTGTGTGTGTGTGTGTGTGTGTGTGTGTGTGTGTGTGTGTGTGTGAACTTCTGTTCATATTAGAAGTTTATTTACCAATTTTGGGATCTAACTTATATAAATGATAATCCTACCTTAAAATAACAATGAAATAATAAAAAGTGTGCCCATTGGCCTAAAAATCATTACCTGTGCTTAGAAACTTAATAGAGAATATTTCCCCAATAATGAGAGTTGGTTAAACAAGCCGCTTATTCTAAAGTGACCCAGCATATCATATATCACAGATTAATTTCGTTTTATTTTTTAAAGTGCACAACTTTTTCTCTCTTTTTAATATCCCTGGAGGGTGAAGTGCAGAAAAAATTATTTTGCAGATGGTATAATGCTGGGTCCCTTGGGCAACGCTCTATGAGAGAGGATTCTCGAAATGAAAGTGTAACGGTGATTCTGAAGTGTGTTTTGGAACTTCCAAAAGTGTGTTGTGGAATGTAATCAGAGAAGGCAGGAGGCTTCTTTGAGGAGAGCTAAGCAGCCAGGCCTTGGGCTGTCAGGGGGCTCGATAGGTCTTCTCAAACCTAATGGTGCTGGGAACTACATGTGTCCACGCTGCCTGCTGCCAGCCGAAGCAGAACATTCACGAAACTTCATAGCACAGAACTCTGAGGCAAGTTCTGATACCCACTAGGCTTGGGAACCACTTCTCCAGGTAACATAGAGGTAGGTGGTATCCACCTGGGCTCACAACCTCCTATGTATGTATTTAACTAGGAGAAGTTAAACTGCCCACGAGGGCACACTGAGTTAGTGGCAGGTCGTGCGTGAAGTAGAGACAGATTGTCCTGTTCACTGATCTCTGTCTGATTCTTGCGTGGCACCTTGACACACAGTAGGTGTTCAATAAATACCTATCAGGCAGGTGACTAACCAAGATTGAGCCCCACCTCTTCATGGTCAGACCAGCTGTTGTGGGTTGGTCTTTGTTGTTTCTTTTTACAGAATATTATCAGCCTCCATAATTTCTTACCGACAAAAACCCACATTTTTTTTTATCATGCAATCTTTTAATTAAGATATAATCCACAAACCATAATACTCATCTTTTTAAAGTGTATAGTTCAGCGGTTTATAGTAAATTCACAATGTTGTGCAAACATCACCACTATCTAATCCCAGAACGACTTCATCACCTCACAAGGAAACCCCACACACATTAGCGGTCACTCTCATGCCCCCAACTCTTGGTAACCACTAATCCACTTTCTGGCTCTAAAAATTTGCCTGTTCTGGATTTTTCATATAAAAGGCATTGTGCACTAATGTGGCCTTTTGTACCTTGAATCTTTTACTTAGCATTATGTTTTCAAGGTTCATTTGTGATGTAGCACTTGTCTGTCCTCCATTCCTTTTTCAGGGCCAACTAATATTCCACTGTGTTAAAACCAAATCTATGCTCTAAATTATCTGAGAGTTTCCTCCCTCCCTTTTTTAAAATAAAACCCTTGTATCTCCATTAATGTTCTAGTTTTCCCATCATTAACTTGCAGAGCTGGAAAAACTCTTCAAGGATATTTAGCTCTTGTCCAAAAAAATAAATAAATAAAATGCCAGTGTGGTTCCAGCTCTTTCCATACATTCTGTCCATCCCTCGACCCCTGGAGGAGAATAAAGCAAAGGAAGCCAGTTGCCTGAGGTTTACAAGCCCTAATCAAACAGAACAGGCTCCTGGGATCCCTGGTGTTGTGTGGACAGAGATGAGATTGCCTTCAGTAGCAGCCTGCTGGCCAGACTCCAGGGGGCTTCACTCCCCCGCCCACCTGCCCCCTCCCAGGATTGCAGAGAGGCCTGTCTGGTTCTCAGGAACAATGGAACAAAGAGGCCTCAAGAAGTTGCAGGAACCTGTTTGACCGAGATTGCTGCTGTAATGAATCAAGCTCCTGAAACTACTTCCACCTCCTCCCTGCACAAATATCCCTGGGCCCAGAGCCTGCCTTTCCCCAGAGGAGCCCAAGCTGAGGCTTGTTCCTGGGAAGCTGGAAGAAATGCACTGAGCTCTAGGAGGGTGGAGGGAAGCTGGAAGCACCTTTTTTCACGAGGGAGGACCTGGCCCCCTCAGGGTTGGGGAAGGGTAAGGCTTTCTGTGAAAGTCCCTCCCTCTAGTCAGTCATTACCTGCAGGTCACTGATGTGTGACTGGGCCCAGAGGCCTGGCTGCAGGACGAGGAATTCCATTCCTGTCTAGACAGCAGTTCCTCACCTACCTTTGCCCTGGCTACAAGTTACTTATGGCCTCCTGCCCCGCTCAGACCCCCACTCGCTCACCAACGAAAGCAGGGCCCACATCCAGGAAAATAACAAAGGTGTCCTTGAGGCGGTCACAGTCTTGAGGATCTGTGCTGGGCCCAGGAATATGTCCTCACCCAGCCCCTAAAGCCATCTGTGAGATATAGGACCGACACCCCAGCATCAAGGAGAAAAGCAAACCTTAGAGATTAAATAACTTGCCCAAATCACTCGCTTTAGCTAAGTCAGGATGGAAATTCTGGCAGGCTTTCCGGACCTCTGCATTCACCATATGTGTGGGAAGACGATGATGCCGATAACTTCGCATGTGCCTGTGACGTAAGGAGCCTGTGTGGGAGCTGTGAAACCCTCTTCTCTGTGAGGAGGTCACGGCTGAGAGGTTGACTAGCCCAGAAGCAGGATCAGGGCAAGCTGGCAAGCCCACTCCCTGGAGCGCCTGGCCCAGCCGCAGACTGAGCCGCTGGCCCCCACGACAGCCAGTGACCCCTCCACCTCTGCTGTTCTTCACCATCTCGTCCACGTCCAACATTGGAAAAAATCCAGAGAAGTTCAATGACGGACTCGAGTACAGAAGTTTAAACCTGTGCATGGCTCTTCTAGGGGCCATCCACCCAGCCTCACCGGCTCCCCCAGGCTGCCCAGCCAGCCCAGCTTCTGAGCATGTGCAGCTGCAACAGTGTAATGGAGGCAGAGAGCAGAGCAGGGTGAGCAGAAGAAAGGAAAAGGAAAGAGAGGGCCCCTTGAGAGCCCACTTAATGTAAAAAAGCCAAACATCCTCCCTAGTGCCCACTGCTGTCCCATTTTTGGAATTTAAGATTGAGTCACAAGAAGTGAGCGGCATGACCTGGGCTGCCCAAGGACTCTTCCAGCAGTTCCGATGTTCCCAGCGCAGATGGCCTGCCTTCCCTGCCTTGCAGGTACTGGGCTGCTCCTGTAGAAGAAGCTCCTATTCCTGCTGCCCAGACATCAGCGAAGGGCGTCTCCCACTCTCTGCTGCTATCTGTGCCCCGTCCAGCTGCCCCTCCAGGGCCTTCCCTCAGCTCCCATGCTCAGAATGCCACTGGCGAGGCTGTTTGACAGGTCTGAAAATGAACGGCTGTCCCCTGCCGGCCCCTGTGTGTCTGCATCAGGCTGACATCTTCTTTAGAACATCTGATGAAAGGTTTGCAAAGTGGCATCCCTCCATGAGCGAGGGCTGGATGCGTGTCCTCCACGGGCACAGGAACAGCAGGTCTCACAAGCTGAAGTGTGGGGACAGGCTGCCGAGCACAGCCCGCCCCGGGCCGGGAACGGACGTGGTGAGCCTGCTCCATCAGGGCCCACGGCAAAATGCTTTTTGAGAATAACCATCACAGATAGGAACATGACCGCAGAGGTCAGCTCCCGACTTACATCTGGTTTATCAAACTTAATATTTGCGTCTTACTGAGTGCTAAGTATTGCTCCAGGCGCTTAACAGAGAGCAGCACATTTAAACTTCCTAACAACAGTGTGGGTAGGTGCTGTTATCATCCCGGATGGACAGACGAGGAAGCAAAGGTAGAGAGAACTTCTGTCGAGTCCCCAGGTCAGATGGCTGGTCAGTGGTGGCACTGGGCTTCAGCCAGGCAGGGCCCCATCACCACCACACTGCTCCTCCCCATCACGAAACCACATCACTGGACTTTGCCACTGCTTCTAGGCCCTTCAGGCTACAAGACAGAGCAGGAAGGAGAACTGTGGAGGGAGTGACCGGGGCCTCAGGTGGTTCCAAGCGCCCCCTGAGGACCACAGAGCCCACACAATGTCCCCTGTTCTCACAGGTGACTGGGCAACTCTGCATTGCAGGGGGAGAGCCCAGAAGGGCCCAGAAACTTCACAGTTACTGGTGGACGCTGCCCTGAGCACTGAAAAGGCCTTGGTGAAATGTGACCTGGGGGCAGCACCTGCCCTGTGTACCTGGGTCTGATACCTTGTGGGCACTCAGAATATACCTTCCTGATGACAGAATGAAACTTAACCAGCACTGAAGGGTGAAAGTAGGGAAAAATTTTAAGTGAAGAAAGGAAAGAAGACAGAGAATATCATTCCAGTCTCTTCTGCAAATGCCTCCCATGATAACAGCAGAATCTAGTATCACCATCGAGTCCCTGAGTCCCTTCATTTTTGGATGAAAAAGTGGAAGTCCCAGAGAAGTGAAGTGGCTGTGCAAGGTCTTCACGCCCAGACTGGAGCCCCCTCCTGACAACCACCCAGCTGCATGGTGCTCCCTCCCCCAGCCCCACCCCCCATACTGCAACCCCGTTCCCCACACCGAGATCTCTCTCCAGCATGAGGCCTGAATCCCATAATGTCATGTGATAAGGCATCAGGGTGTCCTTCAGTGCCTTCCTGGGAAGAGTGCCCTGGGGGTCAGAGGGGTTCGGTCAGGAGGACAAAGCAGGGCAGGCAGCAGGGCCCCTGGGCCATGGCCGGCCACGTGCCTCTGCCCAAGGGGTCTTGGCTCCAGGCCTGGCTTGGGCTGGCCCGGAACTGGTCCCCCAGGCCTGGTCCCCCAGGGCTTGGGGCAGGCGTGTTCCCAGCCTCCGCTCCCTGCCTGGGAAGGAGCAGAGCATACTCACCGGCTTCCCCTCCCACAAAGATCTGATTCCCAGAGGCCTCCCGCTTGCCGTGGGAAACCTGGCTCGACATGAACCCTCAGCCCCGGGTCACGGAACCTCTAGTTCCGAGCCCGTGTGGCAGGGAAGAAGCCGCAGTTCTCACAGCACCGGGTCCCTTCTCTTTATTTAGGGCCACCTCTGAGGCCCTGGTCTGCCTCAGGGACATCAGGGGGTGAACCAGCCGAGCACACTGTGGCTGTGGGAGGAGGCGGCTCAGCAGCAGGTTGGAAGAGGACAGGGACTCGCCAGGGAGGGAAGAGAGGCCTTCGCCCCAGCCACAGCGCCGCTGCCACTGCCCCAGCTCTGTGCCCCTCATGTGGAGGGTCTCACACTCAGCTCGGGAATCCCACGCACAAAGTTAATGGACTTCAGAGGGAAATGGGTGGTGGAAATGGTTCCAGATAAACAGACTCAAGACCCAAGTTAATATCCTGCCAGATGCGGGCGGCTCGAGCTGGGAGTCTCAGAATTTCCCTCGGCCTCAGTCCTAACCTCTTTAAAACAGGGATAATAAAACCTTCCCAAGTGCTAGCTGGATGAGATGTGATCATGAAAGGCAAAGTCCCTGGTACCCATAAGTGCTCAATAAATACTCACAAGCTGACCCTCGGGAAGTGTGATTGGACTCCCGTGAGCAGAGAGCAAGGCCTGTGTCACAGAAGAAGCTGGAGAAGAACACTTGTGCAGGAGGCCTCAGTTGGATGCAGGAAGACTGTTGGCTTTCGGGATTATCAACTCTGTAAAACTTTGGGGAGGTCAAACATTTCCACCCTGGAAATATTCAGGAGAAAACACAGATGAATGTTCTGGTCGGGGCGATTCACCTGCCTGGATATTTGGGAGTTGCTTCTGGCTTTGGAAATAACAGCAGAGAATAACCCTTTAGTTCCTCTGGCTAATTAGTTCCTAGCCTACAAATCTCTGAATATTTCCTATTTCCTCCTTTTCCTTTACTTACTTTTTTAAAAAAAATTATATACTATCCTTTCTGAAAATACATGGCCACAAATCTTAAAAGACCTATAGACTCAGTGCATCACTGATTAAGGAAGATCCATCCATCCATCCATCCATTCATTCATGTGATTCCAACCATAGCCACGTCTTGTGCTCAAACTTGAATTACAAACATGAACTATGGCTCCCTACACTGGTCTCGCTGTCAGAAAGGGAGGATCCGCAGCAAATATTTCCCTTTTCCAGGACACCTGCCATTTTTACAAAGAAACAGAAACTATCCCTAAAAGTAAACTGAACTTGTAACTTAGAATGTCAGCAACTGAATAAGCGTTAGACCAGTTTAGCTGCCTTAACTCAGTTTTCCCAGATGAATGTGAATCTTCTCCAGCATTCAGAGCTGGGCAATCAAGGAGCAGGAATGCTTATGAGCCAGATCATTGCCCTTGTGCACATGATTGGCTGGGCGGAAGGCTGCTGCATTCAGAGACTCTCAGGTCACTGGAAAGAATAATGGCTAAGCCTTACCAAATATCAGGTATCTCAATGCTTTCTTTAGGGGTGCTAATTCATTGAACTCACAGCCAACTTATGACACAGGAACTATGAGTATCATCACCCCATTTTACAGAGGACCAGGCCATTAAGTAACTTGCCCTAAATAACAAGACATCAAATAACTAAATTTCAGAACCAGGATTTGGACCGAGGTCATTTGTCCCGTGTCTGTGTTTAAGCATCGGGTTGGACTTCACCCTGAGGCAGGTGCTGTTCTGTTCTGGAAAGATCCAGGAATGCTGAAGGATGGTGCCATGACAGAACCCATTGTCCTGAATGCCAGAAAGCAACCCTTAGCTCAAGATGGTCCTTCTCTGACTTCTATATCGACCTTGGTTATTTATTTATTCTGTGTTTTGTGAGCCTTCCTTGCTCCTCCGTAGACACAAAAACTATTTCTATTCTCAAAGACAGACAAAAGGCCCCAATTTTGACTTCTCGTATTCATATAAAACTCCAATCCATTGGCTTTTTCTTGCAGAGCTCAATCTTTATTTCTTTTTTTTTTCTATCGCCAAACCTACTCTAGAATGTAAAATACAAAAGGCTTCCGTAAGTAGCTTTCACTCTTAAAAATCCCAAGTTTATGGGGTTTTGTCAGTGGTGGACAACAACCTGCTCACTTCATTCTGAAGGCAAATCTTATCCTTCTACAGACCGTGCGCCTCACAGCTTCTCCCTCCCTGGATGGGAATCATTCTTTCACACCTCACGTTGACTATCTGGTTGAACTGGGGCCTGGGCTGAATTCCTTCCTCTTTGTGAATTGCTACTTGTAAAGACCACCTTTAAATTTGATCCTCAGAATTCTGGCAACGTCACCTCATTAGCCCGGGATGCCAGACTGGCATCCCTGCTGCTGAAAGTAGTTACTGAAGGTGCTTGGTAAGAACTGCCCCTTTGGCCTGTGGCTCGGATGCGTAAATGCATAGAGAACCAAGGTAGCCCCGTATTTCCCTGTTCTGCCTACAGGACAATGATCTGAGTGTCCAGAGAGCAGCCCCCAGTGGCACTCTGGAGGGACTTGATCTCAGGCGCACCTAACAGACAGCAGGAGTAAGACCCCAACCCCACCTCCACCCAACCCCCACAATGACAGTGAACTCTGAAGCACAGGGTTCAGTCCATCTCAGGCATCTGCCATACGATCTAATTCGCGGTATAAGTCACAGCCTAGAACAATCACCCAGACTGATGGGCATTTCTGCAGGAAGGGGCTGCACACCACAAAGACCCCATCATCTCTATGAGAGGTCCATTGTCCAGGAGGGGATGGGGAAGGCACCCTGCATAAATTTTTAGAAGGAATTAACAATGTTACAAGTGACTCCACCCATTCCAAGCACAACTGCCAAGAACAGTTTGCATTTTGCCTGGAATATATTAGAGCTGAGGAAGTGCGGAGGAAAGCCTTTACCGAGAAGCTGCAAGTAGTCAAACAAAGACTGGCATCCCTGGAGAGACAGGGGCCAGGGAGAGGGGTTCAAATTGGCTGGCACCCCCAGAAAAAGAAGAAATCCTTTACCAAGAAAGAGCAGTGGCTGCACTGAATCCACAAACAGTTGGTGAGCTGCTTGTTGAGAAGGGGTACATTTCAGGCTCTGGATTCAGTTATGCAAGGACTAGAACTTTACCGCCTAGAACTGAAGTGACATTTGACCACTGGATGGTGGAAACTGGCACTGACGATGGTTCCCCTCACCTCCCCACCATCCCTAGGGGTTCCCTGTCTTGCTGGTTCCCAGGCTCAGGGACTTTCCAGAATCTCAGCTCTTTGTTTCTAGCTGGGAGTCGGGTGGGGATGCTGAGGGTTTATGGTACGCTCTTACTAAACATTCTTCCAACATTATTTTTATGACATTTAATACTTCCAATTGTTCAAGGTTTAGGCTTTAAAAAAAAAGAAAGTGTTCTTGAAAAACTCACAAGACTTGTCTCTGCTTTTCCAATGAATCATCTCTCCCCTGGGGGCCAGGAAGGCTGCTGACTGAATAGGGGAGGGCGGGGCAGACACAGAAATGGTGGCCAGGGAGGGAGACCCCTCTCACCATCTCAACGCTAGGAAAGCAACTGTTAAATCAGAAGTTCACTTAGCATGAAGGTTTGGGGAATTCCAGACTAAAGAAAACTAAAAGTTTTCTTGGTCCATGGAGCCAAGGTGATGGGGAGCCCCAAGGGCTAGAAAACCATAGGTTTTGAGACTTGGCACTGAGCGCTGAGGACCAGGTAGTCGAACTGCTGGTTTGGTTCTGGTTCTGGTTCTGGGGCTGCACTTTCTGATTCAAGAATGCTCCATTATCACAGGCAGGGCAGCAGATGCAGCTTGGCTGGGAGTAAGAACCAGCCACTTCCCTGTGAACTTTTAATTTCTTTATTCAAAATCTTTATTGTTTCCTTTGAATAAGCTGCTTTGTGGCTGGAGTTCTCATCTGACTCATTTTATAGAATAATCCTATAATTGAGGGTATGCACCAAGCAGCCTAAGAAACCCTCGTGGAAAAGCCACAGTCCCTGTGCGCTGAGCTGGAAGGCATGCATGTCAGGGCTTACTCACCCCAACCCGCTGCAGATGGCTTCGAGTTCCTGGAGATCTTGAAACAGGTGGCCCGGGACAACACGGACAACCCAGACCTGAGCATCGTGTGGATCGACCCAGATGACTTTCCTCTGGTGAGCCGCTCACAAGGGGGCTGGGTCGCCCCAGGAACATGAAGGAGGGTGTGAATTAGGAGGGGAACTTGCAGGAACCCCATGGCGGCCCCATCCAGTGTGGGAGATCTTTGCCACAGGGGTAACACTGATCTTGGGCCTGAGGTGGAGACTGACAGGGGCACAGGAATCCTCTGCCGGGCCCACTTAAGTGAGCCGCAAGTTCCCTTTATCCCACCACCACCCCCTAACTATGATCTTTCATTATCCGAGTTGGGAATGTTATTGGAGGCATCTTGAGTTACTGAGTAATGCAGATGTGGACATTTCGCATAAACTGAGAACTTCTAACAAGGACAACCCACGCCTGGAGGGCAGAGACCCTGTCTGTGCCCGTTCTGTTCCCCAGGGATCAGCGTTGTGTGTAGCACATGGAATGTGCAAGAATATTAGTGTCCGAACTCTTGCTCGTGTCAACTATGCATGGCCAGAAAGTCCTGATGGGTTCAGTTTTAAAGAGAATAAGTTGAGTCTGTGCATCTACTGAGTGCCTAGAACTGGAGTAAAAGCATCATCTCATCTGATCCCCTCAGCCACCCTACGAAGTGGAGACTATCATAACCCTGACCTTGCAGAGAGAAAGGTGACACTGGAGAGGTTAAAGACACAATATTCCAAACAGATCCATGTGATCCCAAAGCTTGCAAAGCTTGGTCTATGAGTCAGCAGAGGTTAGGTATAAGAGATCCACACAAATTCAGTTCTCGTTTGATTATAAAGGATTACTCAATCTTCTTCCAGGAGTTACCATTAGTTGATGGGTCATAATCACGCTATGGCGAAACAGACAAAACTGAGGGGCTTTGCCATCCTGAAATCCAATCCTGTGTGGAAGATGAGTGACTCAAAGGCAGGGAGGGACTTTCTTGCCTCCTGAAACCAGCCATGTAATTCTGGGTAATGGTAACAAAGTCTCAGCCAGATGAGACCCTACACCCACAGCTTCTCTTGTTTAGATTCTTTCTCATTCTATTTCCAGCTTATCTGGACTCTAGAGTCTGCAGTCCCCTGGCCTCTTCTATATGTTTGCTTTTGTATGTTTGCTTTTGCCAAGGAGAAATCTTCAGACTATTCTAACTCTTCCCAGTCCTCAGACCTTATCTTTGCTTGGGAGACTGTCTGTCACTGAGCATCCCTGTCTCTTAGTCCTTGGCCCCTCTCTCCTTCAGTCGTGCCCCGTCAGAGGACAGCCCTCTGGGCTGGGTAAGAAGGCCTCCCCCTACTCACATGCCAACAACTGAAGGCACAGCCCTGCTTTCCCGGACACGTCCTGTAGCAGAGGGACTCGAGATGAGGGTTTTGAAGTGGGACATTGAGGGAGAAGTGGCTCTGTCCCCACATAAACTATAAAAGGGCCACAAGTAATTTGGGAATCAACCTTGGACCATCCCTGTAATATTCTCCCTTACAGCTGTAGAGGATTTCACATGTTTTCATAGCTGATGTTCTGATGTCCTTTTTTCCCCATACTTATTTAAAGACCTTGAGGGCTGGGGCCAAGTCTTCAATTTCCTAAGTGCCCACAGCTGTTTTGTAGACCTTTAGCCAATGATGACCGAGTGACTCTGATGGGATGGCAGGTGGATCAGCCACAAAATGTGGCTTGAGCAGGGCCTGCCCTCTGCCTGCCGTCTAATCTGATTTCCTGTTGCTGCAGCTCATCGCCTATTGGGAAAAGACTTTCAAGATTGACCTCTTCAAGCCACAGATTGGGGTGGTGAACGTGACAGATGTGAGTATCCCCCTGCAAGCTTGCTCAGGCACCCTTAGCCTGCCCTGTTTCTTGCCATGCAGCCTTGACTGTGAGGGGTTAGCCTTTCATGAAATGAGCAGGCCCCGTGGCCTTGCGCACATGCAGGAAGCTGTCAGTGAAGCTCAAGTCTTGTCCCCGAGCCAGTCCTAACCTCCAGGGCCACTTTCTCATGCAAGGGCACATTTCCTTCTAGGATGTCAGTTCGTCCTCTCTTGCTCTCTGCAACTTGCCATCCAAATAAACTGTCCTGTGTGCATCTCCCAAAGTCCAACAACAAAGACCCTTTACAAAGGGAACGTATGTCCGGTGCTGCCATTACCTAGTGGGTGGTGAGCACCGTGGCTCAGAAGGCCAGGCAGTTACCTGACAGCAGGCGGGGGACCCCACTTTCAAAGGGAAGGGAGAAAGACATGTGCAAGGAGAGGACTCGCCTCCCTGTGAGGACCCACTGGCGTGGGAAGTCTACTGAGTGGGCTGCCCGGGAGGTGTTTTAGCCTTGATCCAGACGTCTGTTGCGGCTCCACCTTCATAAGCCAGAAGCAGGATGGATGCAACACATAGAATGGACAGAAGGGGATGATCACAGAGGGTCTAGCTCCCTAGTTAGTGTGGTGACTCTCTTGCGGATGGGGGTCTTTTGCTCTGCTGGTCAGTGTTCTATCACCAGGAGGTCTGCATTTATTTATTTTGTAAAGTACTTTATAAGTGAAAAATAAGAATTTAATTATTTTCTCAAGTTAAAACATTTCAAAGCAGAACAGTGAGAGATGAGGTGAAAAGCAAAAGTATTTTCCACTGCCCTGACCTTCTCTTGAGTCCCATTCCCGGAAGGAACCACTGGTGACAGTTTTATGGCTGTCCTACCAGACTTTTCACATACATGCATGCATGTGCATGAAGACATTTCCTTCTATATCACATCTGCAGGATATTACCAGGCCATTTTGCAACGTGGTGTTTGCATTTAATAATGAGCAAACATTTTGATAAGTGTAAGTGACCTGGGCCTCACCCAGCTACTCAGAACCCTCTGGTCTGACTCTTCCTTCATGCACTCACTCGCTCACTCGCTCACTCACTCGCTCTGTCACTCACTGCAGGCTGACAGTGTCTGGATGGAGATTTCAGATGATGATGACCTGCCCACAGCTGAGGAATTAGAGGACTGGATTGAGGACGTGCTTTCAGGAAAGATAAACACTGAAGATGATGACAATGCAGATGAAGATGGAGATGATGACAATGGTGATGACAATGATAATTCTGATGAAGAGAATAATGATGATGATGATGATGATGATGACGACGACGACGATGATGATGATGATGGTGATGACGATGATGATGAATAGCCCCAGCTCGAAGTGATTTTGATGGAAACAGAGTCACCGCTACCTGCCACTGGTCAGACAGGACAGGGTGGCAGCAAGGAGTCCTGGCTCATGCCTGTCAAATCCTTTCCCCTTCCCAATGTCTGTCTTCCCAGCCCTTTCTCATCAGAAGCTACACTATCAGCAGATGCCTTTCTAAACCCACTAGTCCCACTCAGCAAGGACAGTGGGGAATTATTCCCATTCTGACTGTCTTGATTGTCAAAAAAGCTTTTGTTCTTTGCCAGGCCATCAGTGGGCATGGCAGTGCCATGGGTAGGCCAGTCTGGGGTACAATCCCCAGCACTGCTACTCAAGTCTTCTTGTTGTCTTGGACCATGACAGTAACAGAACTGGCAGTGAGCTGTTGAGCAGAACCCAAGAAAGACACACAATTAATCCACATCACCCCCACATCAATTAGGGTTCCTTCTCCAGCCAACAGGAGACAAGCTTATAAATCAGCTTCTTTTGATTCAATTATTAAACTTACTATTTCAAGTGCAGCTTAGATGCCACCATTGGATAGCCATTGAGCAGCCCTGAAACACACATATATTGATGTCACCATGGTTTCTGTCTATCGGGATACTGGGATGGGGAGTTGATTTGCTCTCTAAACTTCCCTCTAAGTGACAAGTCTCGCAAATACACACAGGGGCAGGGGGAGCCAAATGATGAAAGGTTTTTAGCTTTTTCTGAAGGGTTCAGATACCTGATCAGCTCAGCTAGCTTTTTCCTCTGAGCTGGGGCCTGCACACCCCTTCCCTGTCACCGCTAGTGAACTTTTCTATTTGGAGTAAGACTGATTTATCCAGAAGTCAATTAACTCTCCACTTATCAACACTCCCACAGCTGACCAGGACAACAATAGAATTCATAATGATGCCTCGAGGCACTGAAAAAAAAGTCCCAAAATGCCTTGGGAACTCTCTAAAGTTATATTGTGCTCAGTAGTCTTAGTGTTAAGTGTGCATTAATATAATGTTCTAATTTATTTTGTCAGTCCTTTAACACATGGTGAGACACTACAAATTCTTTGAAAATAAGACAATCCTTCATGGGATAGTAGTCAACTAACTCTACCATTAAACTCATATTTTGAAATTTTGAGACTAATCTTGAAAATCCTCTCTTGATTTTTCTGATCCTGTCATTCTCTAGACTCCTGTCCTGTCTGCTTTCATTTCTAGTCCTTCTTCTTCTTCTGCCGCCTGCTCTTTAAATATATGTGTTTCACAGAATCTCTCCACTCTACACAGACACAGCCCCTGATTTAAGATAATTCAACTTAGATCTTTAGACTTTTATGATGATGTGAAAGCATTCGGTGGAAACCACACTTCCAGTTTTATATTCTGATCTCTTCCCAGGCTGGTGACATATGGATAGTACCCTCGTGATGCTGGGCAGTGAGCCTCGCCCTTTTGGCCTTAAGATCACGAGGGTAACAACAAATACACTGTCTTTTCACTCAACAAATGATGTGAGCTATTCAACATTTGATGATAAAATAGGCTTTGTGTTAGATGATTTTGCCCAACTGTTAGCTAATCTAACAGCCACCTAATGGTTGGGACATTCCAGGAAGGCTCAGCTAAATTCTCATGTTTGGTAGGTTAATATATATTTTTTTAAGATTTATTTTATTTTTATGCATACAAGAACTGGGGTACAGGCCAGAGATGCAGGGGGTGAGAGGATTCACCAGAGACAGAGTGGGGAACAGAACAGGCAGACTGATTGAAGTACACTGCTGAGGGGAGCAGTGGGCGAGTCAGGAGAGGTCTGCTGTGCCATGTGGTTTGCTCCCTGGCCAGGGATCAAACTCGCGCTGCAGTGGCTGCGGATAGCTTCATAGGTTGCATCTTAACCCCTTGCGCCACCAGGGAGGCCCGGGGGTTAATGTATTTTTGACATACCATATTTTCAATTCAATGGATTTATTGGACATAAGCCCAGCATAAGTTGAGGAAGATCTGTGCACTCTTCCAAGGTAGTATCATTCATGTCCATCACTTACCACCTAAGTGCACTTGACCTCCAAGATGGGGCTTTCTCGCCTTGCCTTTGCTTCTTGGTTTTAGAACAACTCCTTCGACTGTCTCAGGACATCTTGGTTTGGATGTTGCACGGGCACTTCAAACAACATAACAAAACCTGACCTCATTACTGTCCCCTGCAAACTGCTTCTCCTCTTCTTCACGGAGCACCATTTTGGGCCTCATACAGCAAAAGAAACCATCAGCAAAGTGGAAAAACCTACAGACTGGAAATGATAGGAGATCTGAGGGTGCCCCCTCCCATCTGTTCCCACAGTGTTTTATACAGATCCCAAATCATGAAACTTATCATTTAAGTTGTACTTAGTTTGCATTCCTGTTTTTTCACTAAATGATAGGAGCCAAGGAGTTTACTTATCTGTGTATTCTCAGTAACTAGCACAAAGTAGATATGCATTGAATTGATAGATGAATAATTGATTCACTAGAATAACTATAACCCCCCAGCACTGTCAAATATTGATGCTTACAAGGCTTCTTTACTTACTTCCTCCCTCTCCCACCCTAAATCAAGGCAAACACTTCCAAGCTGGACTGTGCTGTATCCAGCCAGGCCCAACCACACCTCAATTAAGCTCTTGGGAGGTAAACTTTCAAAGCAATCTTTGAAGCTAATCTTTCAAACAGCCAAGGAATGTGGTCCATCATGAAAGTGGTCTGTTTCCCAGCTGAGAAAATTCCCTTGTTCTCAGAGGTCTGAGTAATAAGTATTAAGTTTAGATCATTTCACAGTGCTCCTGTGTTAGAAGCTTCTAGCACCAAGTAGAAGCAGGCACTGTCTGCCAGTGGTCGTGCTGTTCGGCTCTTGTTCTAAACTTTTTTAGGCTGATACTTATGCTTTGCTGGGCACCTGAGGAACCAGCCTTAGCTTCACATGCCTTAGCTCATCTGACCTGTACAAAGATCTCACGACCTGGGTCTTGTTATTATCCCTGCTTTTACAGATGAGGACATTGAGCAAGTCACAGAGGGCTCAAGTCATTTTCAAAGTCACCCAATACTTAAAAGGGGTGCAAGTGTTACCCCATCTTTACACTTAAGAATTTAAAGCAAATGAAACCCATTTAATTAAGCAAAGGGATTATTCACTTGCTCTGAGATAGACCGAAGTCCATCTAGAATTTCCCATGATCCTTTTTTCTACTTAAATCAAGGTCCCCTTTGCTCTTTCATTCTGGGGACCATCACCAGCTTAACAGTATTGGACACGTAAGCTAATTAGAATGCAAAACCCGGCCATCCTGCTGGAAAAAATTCACCGTGTTATAAGAATGCACAGCCATTCGCAGAGTTTTTCTTTAAATTATCTCATATCTTGAAAGAGCTTGTCTTTGAGCAAGAAGGTTGTGCACTATCTGGGACCTTGTTGTATCACCTGGAAACCCATGACATCAGACAGCTGCTGATCAACCCTGGGAGACCCACACACACACATCCCTTATGAGAGCTGGCGGGTCAGTACTCCCACCAGAGCTTCCCCATCCTGCTCTGAGTGTCAGATCACATCTGAGTTTATTTTAGAAAACAGCAGCCCAGACCTATGGCTCCACCATCTCTGGAGCTAAGGCCCAGCAATCTGCTTTTTAAAGAGTCACTGAGGACTGACCCCAGCCAGGCTGCTCTTCCCACCCCAGGTCATCTCCTCTGGCCCGTGGCTTCCAGCTGGCCCTACCAGGCTTCTCCTGAGTTCCAAATGGCTCACTCCACTGCTTCTCTGGCCAGCTGCCTTGGGGTGCCCCACAGGCCCCTCAGATCTGCATAACTTTGGGACTTGAGCGTGCCTTTACAAAGTCACTGAGATCTCAATTTCCTGATTGAGACCTCTCTGGAACAACTGAGAAATAAGGTTCAAAAGTCAGTGGTCAGAAGCCTCTCCAATATTACAGAAAAGAGGTCATCTGGGGGTCATCTGGAGACAAGAGATTGGAGAATGGCTTTCCAGTTTCCTGCCTCCAGGGCAGGCCTCCCAAGGGCGTGCAGAGAGGCCCAGCCCACTCCCTCAGCCGTGAGGAATGTCCAGGCAGGAGAGAAAGTCTGGACCCCACACTCTGACGATCCTGTGTGACACGAACAGAGGCTGTTGCTCAAGAAGCAGGCGACTCGCTCCTTGTCAGGCCAGGAGTGAGGATGGGCGAAGGCCAGCAGGATGGAGGACAAGGTCCCTTTGCACAAAGCAGAGGAGTGGGGGAGCAGTGTCCCCATCTGACAGTGTGCCAGTCGGAAAGGATGGAGCCATTTTATTTCTCCCACTCCTGCGTCCCCCAGGAACAATCCTGTCCTCCCTCCCTCCCTTCCTCCTGCTGGGCCAGCAAGGCTTCCACACTCTCCACGGCAGCCGCTACTTTCTGACAGACAGCTCTCCCAGCCTGTGCTGCAGCCCTTCTCAAATGAGAAACGAATCACACCACACCACACACATGCCTGACATTCTCTACGGTGATAGCTGTTTACGTTGTTTTTTTAAAGACTAAGAGACCGAAGAGCAGGCCAGGAATGGAAAGGGTTTTACTGCGAAATACAGAGTCCAGGCTGCGGTGATGAGGTTGGGGGGGGGGCAGGGTAGGCAGGTCTTGTAAACCAAGGGTCCTCGAGGTGTTCCCGCTCCCTGCGGGGAGAGCCAAGTGGAGTGAGCGGATGCTGCTGGCATCCAGGCTTAAGAATCATAAAAGCCCTGGACTGGCCAGGGTGACTCCTTCTGCAGAGAGGGAGTGTTCATCTTGAAATCAGAGCATCCAAATTACACATTGGGATTGTGGCATCCAGCTGTTGTCTCAGCAGAAGTCAGATGGGGAGCAGTCTCTCTCTGTCATGGAGCAAAACTAATGTCCTCTGTAGCACACCAGAGGTTGGCAGGACCAGCCTCAGTGCTCATGACATACTAAACGCTTACCCTCTACTCTTAAAACCTGAAGCTGGTCGAAGCTGACTCAGTACTCAATGCCTTCAATCTCTGCCTCATGCTGTTTCCATACACTAGAATGCCTATCCTTCCCACCTGGGCTTGTCTGACAAACTTGCCAATTCTCTTAAATATAAGACTCTGACTTTTTCTAGTCCTGCCCCAACTTGGCCACTTCCTCGACCGAACCCTCACTGCACACAGCTCACTTGCAGAACCTACAATTTATTGTACTTTTACATGGATGCCTCTTTCCTCTTTTTAACCTGAGGTAAAAGACCAGCTGATTCTGCTTTATTTTCAGTGTCATAGGTACTTAATAAATCTTCTCTGACTAAACACTCTTTAAGTCCTATGCAAAGCTCATTTAACAGCTATTAGTACAATTAAGAACACATTAGTGATTATCAAAAGTCAACCTAATGCCAAGAAATTGTTGGTAACACGATGTGATCTGCTCAGATTTGCTTAGGATAGACAATTGCTAAAAAAATAGAAACACAATCTCCTTGGCTCAGTGACAAAGTTTCCCAGGGAGGATCCTCCCTCACTTTGGGTTAGCACTGTCCCCCAGAAAGACAGCCATTACGATGAGAAGCTGAGTGTCCCAGAGGACAGAAGAACAAGCTCTACTCCCTGGGAACAGGAGAAACACACCCATCTACATGTCAATTCACTTATTTTAATGCATCTACAGACTCAAATGTTTGCAAGGTGAATTAAGGGCCTCTTTTGAATTAATCTGGTATGAACTCTTTAGAGCAGTTAAGATTACAATTCTCTAAGACTAGACTCGATAATGATAACCTTAGCAACTAAAATAGTTCTATATGATTTAGGTTATAGCCAGTAATTTGAGCACTGAGGATGCTCATTCATTCATTTGATCAAAGAGTCAATCAATGGGCACTTAAAGCTTGTTACCACCTGCAGATCACAAAAATGATTTAAGATAAAAGAGTTGAGCAAGACGTTAGAAAAATAAGGTTTAAAGTGCTTGTCAGTTCCACAAATGCACCATTTTATCTGAAATACTGTGAGTTTTCAGATACACAGTAACACACTCAGATGTAAATACAAAGAACACACCAGAAAGTCAGAGTTTTGGATTATTCACGTCAACACTAGCTTTCGAGTATAAGACGCTCACACAATGACACCAGCAGGAGAGAGCAGCCTGTCCTGAGTGGGGTCACCACCCACCCCCACATTCCTACCCACGGCCCCTGTCTCCATACTGGGTGAGCAGGCAATGACTTTAACTGGTCCCCTCCTAGTAACCCTCACTCAGCTTCCCTCCTCTGATAGTTTGTCTGGCATTCCCCAAATTCCCCCAGAGTTCTATAGCTGTATCATGGGTAATGAACGAAAAAGAGGTCTTTGGTTTACATCTGCACGATTTTAATTTTGTCTCTAGTAAGCTTTGCTCGTGCAGACACGAATTGTGCACGTCTTCACTGAGAGCCCAGAGAAAGAGCTTCTCGATAATCTATACAATGAATAGCTTCAGCTCAATTGTGTCTCCCGTCTATGTCCACACAAGAGGCAGACACTTGATTGTATATCAGGGCTCTCTTCAGGGACAGGATAGCTGAGAGAAGCAGAAGGCAAGCTCCAGCATTTCCTTGTCAAATAATTGGTTCTCTTAAAAACACCTATCTAAAATAAGTCAATAATTTAAAATGGATGCACAAACCACTCACAGAAATAATATCATATTCACTCCTCACAAATGCAGGGTCTGACGCTTTCCTCCCTGCTAAGTTGATTCACAGATCTTTTCTCACCGGCTAGGTTACTCCAAAGGCCTGTTTCTTCTACAAGTTTTAGAGGCTAAAATTTTAATTTTTGGTAACCTATTCTTTTAAGACATTCTCTTGATCACAGAATGATTGCAAACCAAGCTCCTATTACTATGGCAATTCTACTTTCCCACTCAATCACTACGACTGCCTTGCCTTTCACAGAAACTGGACCAGCTGTGTCTTTAAAGGGATATCAAAGTTCCACAAAAGTGAAAATGTTCCGTGAAACATAAAACTCTCTACTGAAATAATGACATAAAAAAATCAAAAGGCAATTTGGAACTTCAATTTATTTTCCAAGTTTTACAGTATAAAATATGTAACAAATGTGAAAAATGTTTTACAGTTAATTGGGATGGGGCGGGGGGAGAGTCCCAAAGGGAACAAAGTAACTTGAATGCCAGGTACACACCTCCCTTGCAGGCGCTAACATTGTCACTGCTGTCACACCAGAAGAGTTTTCATAGCACACACCTTGTGGATGTATGTAAACGCACCTGTGCAGGTGGCTGGGGGGCAATTCATACCTTTACATGATTGACATGTCTCGACAAAGCCCAGACCCACTTTATGCAGGAAATCACACTCACACTTGGTCAAATGCACAGGGGGACTCTGAGCAGAGGCAGATCTGCCCCTCCTGGTTGCAAAGCGCAGCTTGAATGAAGGAGAGAGAGCACCCAAGACCCCTTATCTTTGCACTAAAGGTTACGACCCCATCAGATAGAAACAGATGGCCTCATTGCTGACCTTTCTGGGTCGATGCTGGATTCTAAACCCAGAAGCATACAGTTCTTTCAATACAAAGATGATTGTCAAACTCTTGAGTAAGACTTGGCCCAGGCCCCTCTGGGCCTCCCTTGCTGATGAAGTGGCCATCCAGGCTGGGCCAAGTTCACCCTGCCCTCATCCTGGCTGGTGCCTGCGTGGTCCGCCTCTTGGGAATCAAATTTAGTTAATCATGTCATAACCAAGCGGTCTCAAAGGAGTTTGCTATTTAATTAAAATTTTGAAAAGGGATTACAAAAATAAGAAATTATGGCCAAAGTTTGGATCAGGGGCTCCCTTTTTTTTTTTTTAAAAGGATAATGGTCAACACAAAGCATATATCCCATTATTTCTTTAGTTAAGGGGTGCTGGCAGACATGAAGCAACTGCCTCCTCTTTTCCCCGACCCCCAGAACAGAGATGATATGCAATTGTCTCAACTCCCTACAGCACGGGCTGATCAGATTTGTTACCCGTTACTTGTTGCCCGGGGCCCGTTACTGATTCCCTGAGCAACAGTCTCTGGTCCTCACAGATGAAGCTTCCCAAGGCGGGGGTGGGGTCTCAGCACCCCTATACTATGAGCCCCTCAGAGGGAACGCTCATGTCCACCGAGGACGGATAACTGTAAGTGAACACAAACCAGACGACTGTACATTCAAACATTTTTATCCAAATATCTCAGTGCCAAAAGACGTGCCAAAGGCACTTTTAAGAAAAAATCCTGGAATCTGTCACATTTGTCCCCAAACTTAAAAGGTGGTTTTAGTTAAGACAAGGGCCAAACATCGACGTTCGCCGGCTGAGACACGGACTCTCAGAGCTGCGTGGGAAGGGACCAGTCGCTGCTGCTTCAGGTGCTAGAAAGGGTGTGCGGGAGAGATGCTGAAAGGATGCATTAAAGACATTTACTTTATAAGAGAAACAAATCAAATTGGGTTATCTAAGTAGGAGACAAGGACTCCCAGGATCGGAAAATCTGACTTTATGCCACAGTTTCATTTGTCTTATCTACATTCTGAACATGTGCCCCAGTTTCTGACGAGTCGCCGTGCTGAGAGGTGTGGGCAGTGTCCGGCCTCTCCTGCCCTCCACCTCAGGCAAAGAGCAGGAAAGGAAAAGGTCGTTTATGCCCAATTGAACTAAGACACCAGCCCAGGAAAAGGTGTTTTCAGAGTCCTAATTTATGCCTGTTCTGAAAACTCGAGGCAACTGTGGAAAGAACACTGGGAGGCAACAGGCAGGCTGAGAACACGCGCGTCAAGGCTGGAGGCAGGAGTCCAGTTACAAAACTCCCCGGCGGGCCTGCGGGCAGCCCTTGTCCCCCACCCTGCCCTGGGAAGCGTCTGGGGCATGTAGCTGCCACAGTGCCAGGAGGAGGCCAGGTCAGGTCCTGCAAAAGCCCCTGGATCCCAGGTCTAAGGTGCCCACCTATGCAAGCCATTAAGGTGGGGACAGAGGGCAAAGGGGGAGCACTACGGCCCCCTGCAACAGAGGCAACACTGCAGGACTGGTTTCTGAGAGGAAGGGGCATCTCAACTTCCTTACACTGAAAATCCTGAGCGCTCCACCAGCACAGAGAAGGTTCCCCTGCACCCTCGGGCCTGACTACTAGTGCAAACTCAAGGTGTGAGGGTAGGTGCAGTTCCAGCTCCAGGGAGGCACCCACCCCAGGTTCTGGTTGAAGGGTAAGTGTCTCAAGTTCCTCCTTCACATCCCCGAATGCTAAATCACTCAGCTCCTACTTCCAGGTAGAGTGACTGAGGGGCTGGAGTCAAACACTGGATTATAAAATTCCATTTACCAGCAGTGAGAACTTGGGGAAGTCCCCCCTTCTCTGATTATCCTTTTTCTCACCTATAAAATTGAGACAATGCCTACCTCCTCCAAGGAATTCACATTCTAGAACTGCCTAACACTCACGACCTGATAAATACATTAGGACCCCTCTCTCCCTTTTTAGCCAAAATGTTTTGTTAAAACATCAGAAATTGAATTTTCTGAGCACTTAGTCATAAAAGCTCAATGGGGTGATTTCAAAGCAGTGTCTAAAGGAGCTTGGTTCACTCTAGCACTGAATAGCATTCAAGAACTGTGCCCTGGGCTGAAGAGCTCTATTGCATGTACAACGGATTGGGACCACAAGGTTACATGGTAGTAAATTCACAGTAGTGATTTATTTATTTTTTTATAACAAGATCCATAAAGTACAAATGCTGCCCAGCAGTAATTACCTCACTTTACAAATGCAGGGTCTCTGCTGCAGGACTATCCAAATATTATGCACACACTGCTGTGCTACTTGTAGTAATCAATACTTTTTTTTTTTTTTTTTTAACGAATCTCAATGTATAAGCTGTACTGGGAAACACAGACTAAGGCTTCCAGGGTGGTGAAGTTGGAGCAGTAATTATCATAAAGCTTGACCTTTCTTTCTCTTTTTCTAACTGTTTTTGGGGTCATAGGGTCCTGAGCGAGAGGGTCTAGTGGACTAATCTGCAGGACAATCCTGTGATAAAGCCATTTACTCCTGGGAGAAGCCAGTGTAACTCAGGAATGAAAGGGATGGAGAAGCAAGTGACTTTAAAGTAATCTCATAAAAGAGGGGTGATACTAGAAAATATCTCCAACATAGAATAGGCACGGAAAGACACACACCCCCACACACACAACTTGCTGAACCACACACCATCTGCTGCAGGTAACACAGATGCTCAGATGCCTAACTATAAACATGTCGACCACCTGAGAACACACTCGGCCACACGCTCACGTCTGTGGAAACACATACCACCAATATGCATCCCTGTTGAGGGGAGCCTGACGTGCCGGGTGAGAGAGAGAAAACCAAGGCCTTGGTTTTGTTGGTTTTACTGAGTGGCTGGAACATTCACCCTCCCGGAGGCTGGTGGGGCAGACAGGGAAGGGGAAGGCATGACCATCAATTTCTGTCTGCACCGTGGGCTCGCCGCAGAGCTGCAGCCACCTTTCAGCACATGCACCCAAGAGTGAAGTTGAGATGTGAAGAGGAGGGTCCTGGATCACCTCTAACCATGTGCAGGGAGGAGAAGGGGGCACCTCATCCTGTCCAACACGCCCACTCCAGTCCCTCCATTGCAAAAGGTCCCAGCAAAGAGCCACAGCATGCGCGTGCGTGCACACACACACACACACACACACACCCCATGTACTTCCAGCCACTTATTGGACAGAACCTGTCCTGTCCACAGATTTGAAAAGGACAGAGAAGAACAGGAGAAGATGTCAGCAGAGCAAAAACTGGTCAAGCATCTTCACTAGGGCTTTTGGGTGAACTTTAGCAAAAGTATTAGGTGTTTTGACTTAACTAATAATGCGAAGGACGCAGGAGAGACAAAACCCATCTAACTTGAAGAACGCAGACATTAAGTTCATGGACGATAAAAAATTGTCATTATCTTCAAAAGTACACACTTAAGAACAAATGTCATGGACTGGTTAAAATGTCACCGGGGAAGCAAGGAGCTCAGACACACACTCATCAACTTCTTCTACTCTTCCATTTAATGCTCATGTTTTAATAACTTAGGTTGAAAGGTATAGAAAAATCCATAAACATTTAAGGCAAATGAAAGTCTGTCCCCTCAGACAAACTCATCATACTTTCTACTAGCTGCAGGGCGATTGACCACTTCTAAAAAGAATGTCCCGCTGGCTCGATGAACTGAAATAAAAATGCATCATGTTCAATCGAGAGACCCAGCTTTCTGAAGCCTGGCTGTTTTTAAATGCCATTTACCGTGTTCCCACTGCACCAGGAACTCAAACTATTAAGAGTC